ACAAGCAATGAGCCAGAGGGAACCAATACCAGTACTGAGTGAAAACTAGCATACCCACTACAGCCAACATATTCATATGTCCAGTTCTATTCTGAAGGGATACGGTGACATTACGTCCACCTGCATCAATGATACCTTGAGCTAAAATGCCTCCAAATTTAGCCATGACATCTTCGTGTTTGTTGGAGATAACTTGGGCGTATAGTTGGCGGAAATAAGTAACTTTCGGGCAAAGTGTCTCAGTTTGTTGAATAAGTATCATTGCAGAGGCGATCAAGGCTCCTTGCCTTACAAAGTTTACGGGATCAAATTTGACCATGGGCTCTAAAAGACCGATGGCTTCACGGTTACCAGTACCGGCGCATGCAATGCCCAAGGCCATAGCAGCGCCATAACGGACATGGGGATTGTAGGACTCTGCCAGCAGGGACACCACTGATGGACACTGTTCAGGAGTTCTAAACAACAAAAATCCGAGAGCAGTAACGGCAGCACGACGTACGTCATCGTTGACATCAGAAACAGCAACATGCAGTAGAGTTCTAATAGAATCGTTATTCCCAGTACCACAATAAGCTGTTGCGATAGTATAACAACCAGCTCGTCGCAACAATGGATCTTTGTCTCTCAGTAGTTGTTGCACAAGGGCATCTGCTTCCTCTAGCCTTCCATACATGGTAAAGGAAATACCCACAGCTAAACCACGTAAGATCTTTTCGTGTTGAGTTTCTTGAGCATATGCCACCATGTCTTCAATAGCTGCTGCATTCCTTGATCCCAGCATTACCATGCCCATAGCGATACCTGCAGCTTCTCCAGTAACTGCATCATCTTGATACAAATTAAATTTAAGCTGTTCATACACATCCTGTCTGTGAGTACCCATTGCTGCCAGACCAAGACCAAGACATCCACCATGACGCACCATTTCATTCTGAGCATCTTTTAATTGTGTTAAAAGATAATCAATGATATTGGCACCATGGTTAGCGTGAATCAAACCTAACGCATATAAGCCACCACCTTCTGAGTATCCTGATGATGGTCCAGCTTCTTTTGGTAAATAAGACTGCATGAGAGCTAGTGATTCATTTTCATGACCTCTATGGATGACTCCAAGAGAAGCTGTTACTGTTAGCTTTGCCCAGTTGGTTGCTCTAGCAAGCCATTCCAGGTTATCTCTTAAGAATTGATCACTGGTTGTTCCGGCATGCATGAAGGCATTTGCTATGACTGTTGCGGTATGACAAATAGAAACTCTGATTGCATCCTTTGTGTTCTTTAAAATTAACATATCTGCATGATTTGACCTAATTAAGAATTGTAATTGCAAACCTATTGATACATCTCCTCCTAAAATAGAAATTAATTTTTCAACTCTTTTTTGGTGTTCTTTCTCTTCATCATTCAGGCTTTCAATATCTCTCTCTGGTTTCTTAGCTTCTTCTGTTGGCAGTGCCTGATCTACATCCATGGAAGACTCTGGGAAGGGTCCACCCTGTGGTTGAGGTTTGCCACCAAGAGCACTAGGTATTGGTGCAGTTGTTCTTAAAGCTTGCAATACTCTGCCTAGAAACTGTTGGGTGGCAGAATCATACAAGTCAAAGGCAATTTGATATGCCATAAGAACAGATTCTTGTGGTCCATGGGTTAATTTGTCAAGGATTTCAGCAACTGACAGTGGATCTTCAAGGAAAATTAAACATTGACACATGTTTACATAGTCTGGGATATTCAGGCCTCTGTACAAACCGACAAGAGAGCGAAGGACAGTGCTGCGGAAACCTCTATTTTGAAGGAGACTCATTGCAACTGTGAAGGCGTACTGAAGCATACCTGTAACACAAAAACAAATTGAGTAAAAGTAAAAAAAACTACATATATCAACAAGTTTTAGTACTAATTTACTACACTGAGTTAATCCTACTATATTACTTAATTAATTTTGGTAACAACCATATTTGTCTTTCTTGTATCTATTTATAGATTCATCAATTTCTTTTACATTTTCATTACATTTGCAGAATTTTAAACATAAATATTCCAAGAGATGATAAAAAAATGGTAATGATTCATCTATTGTGTTTATTTTGTTGTTCCTCTGTATATGTGTTTAGTGGAAATTTATAAATAATTAAATTGTACAAACTAAAAAGAAATTTTTCACAAAACACAAAGAACTTAAATAAATGTTACCTGATATATCATCAGATTTCATGATGGACTCTTCAAAGATGTCCATGCGGCGAGTTTCCAGCGCAAGACCGAGGGCTTGACGATACTGTCCATCGTCAAGGCATCGCTGGAACATCCGGTTAACGATGGCTTCCAACCGAGGGTCGATCGTTTCCGCTGAGTTATCCACGAACAAAGCTTTACGTTTCTGTGTATAGAAGTCGATTGCCTTTGCAATTGTAGTATCAACATATTCATTTCTTGCATTTACGTCGAACAAGTCACCAGCACCAAGTGCGTACGTCAATGAGTCCTCAAACGCACCCAAATGATAGTACACCTTGCTGGCCACTAATGCTGCAAGCTGGTGTTGCGAAAACACTTTATCTTCATGCAGGATCTCGATCTTCTCTATCGATTCAGAAATTTCAGGCCAAAATTGATCGACGATATTGTCCAATCGTTTCAACGCAAACTCTTTCACTTCATGCATCGGTTCGTCGAGCAGGGATATAATCCCTGCAGCTGATGTGATATTCATTTTGGTTTAATTTCTGTTTTAACTTTTTCGAATACACAGCGATCCCTTTTTCTTGTTACAAACTAAATTCTTTTTGTAAGCTGGGATGATTTGACAAATTCGTTTCGTTTTGTCCATCCACCATAGGCAATTCACTATACTCTGCTCTCACTGTATAATGTAAATTGCGTATTGCATTTATAACCAATAAGGAGTTGAGGCTACGATGATTCTAGATTATGATTGGTTGTTGAAGATATTGATAGCAAAAATCAGGAAAACTAAAACAAAATAGCATTGGATTTGGGTATAGACAAGAATTTTGAAAAAATAAAATGTTTATTACAGTAAAGTCAAATCAAACTTATTATAATAATATAGGCGATACAATTTTTTTTAAAAATACCATTTTACCTAAATGTTAAAATAGTAAGTGCTTCATCAATCAATGTATTTAATTTACAGCACAGGAGTCACTGCACTTCATACAAGCAACACAAATGTTAACGTCATTCGTCACAAGTCATAACTCGTTTGACATTTTGCAATTTGCATATTGCACCAACTCATACTACGTAGCTACTTAGCAATCTGTTACAACTTACAAATAACTTTACGATACTTATCCAAAATGCTCGACTTATTCAGCATCTTCAGTAAAGGTGGTATAGTGCTATGGTGTTTCCAGAGTACCAGCGATATATTCTCGCCATCCGTAAACGCTCTAATACGAAGTGTAATTTTGCAAGTAAGTTCTCAGAAGCCCTTCAATAAAATTATTAACTAAGATCTCTCTTTACTTTACAATTTTTTATTTGCAGGAGAGAACAGGGAACAATACATTTAATCATAATTCATTAACATTACAATATAAACTCGATAATGAGTTTGAATTAGTGTTCGTGGTAGCGTATCAGCGTATACTGCAGTTGTCGTACGTGGATAAGTTCTTGAACGATGTTCACTTGGAGTTTAGAGACAAGTACAAAAATGAGCTGCAGACTGGTCGTTATAACTCTGACTATGAGTTCAAAATGTGCTTTGACAAGGTCCTCAAAGAGTGTGAGAAATGGGGTAAGTTTAACTATTCTTCGGGACCGAATCTACGTGAAATTAACAAAAAATGAGTAAACACCTAGAATAATCTATAGTGTAAAAAAGTGGGTCTTTGCTTCTAACACTGATATCCAATCCAAATTTATCCTGATCTAATCTAGAGTATCTTAGTAACATCCATACATCAATCCAAACTTACAGTAAATAACATCTAACTTGGAAATTTTACATATCAAAAGAAGTATACCTCACTGTCAATTATTTACTTTCTCTTATGTCTTTACATTATATTTTACAGCCAAGTCACAAGCTAAAATTCCAAAACAAATGAGAACCTTTGAGGATTCTCAGAAATCTAAGAAGACTGTTGCATCTATGATAGAGAGGAAAGGAGATGAGAAAAATAAGAAATCCGGTAAGTTTTAATGATTACTGTCTTGAATAAATATGAATAAATCACCAGAGAGGAGCAGTTCACCCTCTTTAGAATAATAAAAGAAATCTATACTAATATAATAAAGAGGAGAGATTTATATATTTTTTTTGTATTGCAATAACTCAAAAATTACTGTGCCAATTTGTAAAATTCATTTACTATTGAAATGCTATCACTGAGTAACATAGGCTATGTTTTGCACTAATTTATAATAACATGCGGAGAAAGTCGCGAAGCTATGATAGTTATTCCATAAACATGCTAATTGACAATATTTTCTGTTGCATTTCAGTAAAAATAGTTGAATCAAAGAATCTTACTAATGGCAAGGTGGAGGAGTATTCAGAGCAGGAGGATGATGTGATTGCGGCTAACAGAGCTAAGTTGGCGCAGAAACTTGCCTCCAAAAACAAGAAGGAGATCAAGTAAGTTAATTTGAAATTCATTTAACATTAATACTATTGTTAAGAAATAAGGTTATAACATACAACTTTTAAGACATTGAACACTTTTTGTATTTTTATTTTTGACTTGTTCTTTTTTTGATATATGACAATCTATAGATATGTAAAAAGAAATATATTTTTTCACTTCGCAATCGATCGTTTTCCATTCACCTCGCCTCCAATCTTTAACAAATATGTCATCTTCTGTCTATATCTAGCCAGGACTGTACCAATGACTTATACAGTTTTATCTTATTTCATCATCTTCTCTATCCTACTCCTGTAGTTGCGCAACAGGTTTTTGTCCTCCACGTCTATACATCATCTCAGTCATCACTCCCTTCATCATGTCATCTTTCACACCATCAATCTCTTTCTCATCTTATTTCTTACTAATATTATAAATGCGTGTTTGGATGGATGTTTGTTAGCGTTGATTCAAGGTTTTGAGAAACTTAGTAGCCTATGTATTTCAGAGTATGTTCTACATATGTAACAAATTACATCAAGGTCCATTACGCCGTTGCGAAATTGTATAGTAAAATTCGTTTTTTTAAATTTTCGCATTTATAATATTGAAATAAGAATTTCTTTACTATAATTTTATCAATCAATATTGCCTTGGCATCTTTATTTGGACACTGTTCAGTTATAATATGGCTATGTATTTATACTATGACTAGCTTTCGCCTGCGACTCTGTCCGCGTGGATTTAAAAAATAACAAAAGAAAATATCCTATGTTTTCTTCCAGACTACGCTTTACGTCTATGCCAAACTTCATCAACATTCGTCCAGCCTTTAAGGCTATAAACTAACAAACACCCATCCTAATCTTTTGCATTTATATTAGTAACATTGCCTATTATTCTGAATTTGCACATTAATGTATCTTATCTTTTTTATCTTAGTTTAAAAGTATTTATCATTATAAGATTTCATTTAATTCCATTAGCAAGCAATCTAGAGTATAAGTACTTGGCCTTACTTGAAGGTTAGGTTGATAAACCTGTTACAGTACTTAAGTTATATCAAATGGACTTTGAACTCAAAGAACACGTAACTTACGATGATTTAGGGTTCTATTATGCGATTTGGTGCTCTAATAAATATTATTTTTTTGTCATGGACCCCTTTCAAAATAGTACTTGTTTCGGTACCACCATTTGAGGGTTTGGTTCACCTTGAGAAAATTTTTATCCAAAAATATAGTAGTATTTCTTAATTATTTTAGTTGATTTTTATAATTTTGGTAGTTAACATAATGCACCTATTGGCATGTCTTCAAGGTTCAAAAGCAGTTAAAGTCTTCATATACAAATTGGACCTCTAATTTTGGTTTACGGTGGCCCATTTAGAGAAATACTGGTCTAATATATTACTTGACATTGACCTCCACAAAACACCCTTCTTCCATGAACTCGTCTTAGGTGATTCAATTTATATTCCTTCATAGAATCCATTTGTCTCTAATCTCAGATGTGGTTGTTGTTATAGAAAGTCTCCTAAGAGTCCTAAAGCGGTGGATCGCGTGAAGAAGCCCCGCGTGTGGGAGCTGGGTGGCGGCTCCCGGGATCTGCCCACCCTCGAGTATACAACCGACAAGGATGCTGTGCCTAATGATATTATACCTGATACACAGGTAAAAAATAATAACCATCAAAAAAAAAATATAAACAAAACAAAAATATTAAAAAACCCACCAGTTACCTAAATTGCCCACTCTTGGGTATAGTTTCCCACTATGTGGTTATAAGCAATTTGGACATACCAGTTGTTGCTCGCGACTTCGTGTCCTGAAATTAAAAACCAATAAATTACATAGCTCATTGGTGAAAGATTTTTTGAAATCGACTCTGTAGTTTTTGAGTTATTTCAATACATACGAAAATACAAATCTTTCCTCTTTATAATATTAGTAAAGATTTATAATGCGTTTCTTTTACTAGCTACTTTAGCAATACAATAGAATTAGATAATTCTTTTTGCATGTTAAAGACATAAAGGATTATGTTTTTCTATAGGAAATAAATAAAAAATATTCCATTTTCCAGATTGTGGGTCAAATGGCTGGTGCTATCAAGGACCTGGAGGAGTCAGATTACAGCAGCAGCGAGGATGAAGAGGAAAATGAGCAGCCAACCGCTAAGAAGTCTGGCGGGATGTTCAGCTTGTTTAAAGGTAAAATATCAAAGAATTAATAAATTCTTTTAAAGAAATTTTATTTAATTTACTTAATACTTTTTGCACAAATATTACAACAACTAAAACTAAATAAAACCAGTTTTGTAGAGATTTTGTGTTATTACTTTTACAAATATTAAAATTGAAAGTACTCTCGTTTCATAATTTTTAAATAATATATAACCGCAAAACTTTTTATATATTCTTTCTTAAATGGAATTTTTTTCCAGGTCTAGTAGGTTCGAAGGCATTGACTTCAGAAACAATGCGTCCAGTACTGGACAAGCTGCGAGACCATCTTATTGGTAAAAACGTGGCTGCAGACATCGCCAACAAGCTGTGTGACTCCGTCGCTACCAAACTGGAGGGCAAGGTCAGATTATGCTTCTAATAACATGTTTTTTTTATTTCATTCAAGATTTTCTAAAAAAATCTTTATTCAAATCTTCCATCTGTAACTATGTCTTACTGTCATTACATATTAACAGTAAGGAAATGATACGCTTACATTTGTTGAATTCTAAAGTTTATTGATTATAACAAAATCATTCATTAATGTTTAATTTAGATAAAATTTTGTTAATTTGCGTTGAAATTTTTTAGATATGGCCCCTTTGCAAACTTTGTATTGAGATTTTGCTATGTAATAATTAACAGGCGCTAATATATTATGTCACAATGTTTTTGCTATGTAAAATTTTACAGGCGCTTTTATATTCCATATATTATTTTTTTAGGTTCTCGGTACATTCGAGTCCGTGGCTAAGACAGTCCGCGCCACGTTGACGGAGTCCCTCGTGCAAATCCTGTCGCCGAAACGACGTGTGGACATCTTGCGTGACTGTATGCATGCTAAACAGGAGGGGCGGCCATACGTTATGACGTTTTGTGGGGTAAATACGATCATTCTACATTAAAATATGTAAAAACCCATGAATCAGTTTTAACCAACTTCAAAAATATTGGATTACTCCGATTATTAACCAAATAGCAGTTTGATATCCCCTTTTTCAAAATTAAAAATTGACCAGCAAATTTTGAATTCTTATTAAAAATGTATCTAAAGAAGGTAAATTTTGTCTTGAAGTCAATATTCTTTTATATTTTATAATTGCATTATTAAAGACTTGTCTTGAAATCCCCTGAAATTAACTTATTTAATCAATTAATATTATTATTTAAAAAACAAACAGCGTACATACATAACAGTTACAATACAAATAATTACGATACAAACATACCGAATATTAGATAAACCATTCAAAAAATTTAAATCAACGCCATCTATCGGACAATTAAACTTAACTTACAACGCCATCTATCTCACATTTGACTTTTATTTAATTTCCAGGTGAACGGTGTAGGTAAATCGACTAACCTCGCGAAGATCTGCTTCTGGTTGTTAGAGAACGATCTGTCGGTGCTGATAGCGGCGTGCGACACGTTCCGTGCGGGCGCGGTGGAGCAGCTGCGCACGCACGTGCGGCGGCTCGACGCACTGCACCCGCACGCCGCGCACGCGCGCCGTATGGTACATCTCTATGAAAAAGGATATGGTATGTATATTTCAATAATGCTAGTTACTTTGACAGTATGAAGTTAAAAAAACCCTCTATACGTTTTATTCGATAGCGTAGCTATTTATTGGTGAAAGAAATTTTAAAATTTGCATACTATAAATGATTTAAAAATTAAAAAGCAAAAATATATTTTATATTCCTCACCGGTAAAATAGTTTTTTAATGGTGAGAAAATTTTTGAAATTGGTCCGGTGTTGGTCGACTCGGTGGTTTTTGAGTGATTTCAATTCATACAAAAATACAAATCTTTCCTCTTTATAAAATTGGTATAGATATAGGCGTAGTTACTTTCTGATTTGCAAAATTATTATAAGCTCCATCTATTGTTATAAAATAAACATAAGTTTTACAGTCTATGTATTTTACAACGTAGTCAATAGATGGCGCTGTTCTCTATTAGTACTTGCCGGTCGGTTTTTTAGGTTATTTAACAATATAAAGACATTTTTATGTATTGTGTAGATTTTAACAAGACATTTATTTTATCGTATACTAAATATAAATTAATAGTAATAATTTAACCGATTTCAGGTAAAGACGCGGCCGGTATAGCGATGGAGGCGATCCGTTACGCGGCGGATTCTAAAATAGACGTGGTTCTTGTGGACACGGCGGGCAGGATGCAGGACAACGAGCCCCTGATGCGGGCCCTCGCCAAGCTGATCACCGTCAACCAACCTGACCTGGTACTCTTCGTCGGAGAAGCCCTCGTGGGCAACGAGGCTGTGGACCAGCTCGTCAAATTCAACCAAGCCCTCGCAGACCACAGCGCTACAAACGACCCACACGTTATAGACGGGATAGTGCTCACTAAATTCGATACAATTGATGATAAAGTAGGCGCGGCCATATCTATGACTTATATAACGGGTCAGCCGATAGTTTTTGTCGGCACAGGGCAGACTTACACTGATTTAAAAGCACTAAATCCGGGTGCGGTTGTACGCGCTTTGATGAAGTAAGGGACCAAAGGGCGTAGCTACAACCTGAATACAATGTACATACTGAAATTACCAAGGGCCTGTCCCACCAAATTATAAATTTTCTGATAAAAATCCACCGTTTAAAATTATGAAAATATCTGATTTTGTTACCTTATCTGACAGTGACGTCATTTTTAAGCTCTATCAGCCAGTGGTGGGATAGGCCGTTATTACATTAAAGTTTTATCTGACAGATAAGCTACTTGTAATTAAGATTTTATTCAGTAATGTCTAATTCTTCAATTTATTAAAGTTTCTTTTCTACTTTAGCTGTCAAGTTTTACACATCTTACATAACTAACCGATATCTCTTAACAGATTTGATGTTCTTGGCTGATTATAATTATTAAAGTACAATATAATAAAAAATAAATAACAAATGGCAACACTCGTCAAAAGTGGCTTTCAAATTGACAGTTGTCAGTGATGTGAAATCTATCGATAATTAACTTGGCATGTTGAGAAATTGTTAGTGTTGTGTTTTTTATTGTCGACTGTTTTAAAAAATTTATATCTTTTGTAAAATGGATACCGAAAAATTGTCAAATTAATAAGCTTAGAAAGCTGTAAAAAGTAAAGAAAATTAATAAAAAAATGTTTCTTTTACAATAATGTACACTAAGTATGTTTTAAGTTAGCTACGCCCTTAATCTACAGAATAATTATCAAATATATGTGCCTATAAAATATTACTTGTGAAGTTATTGTATTAATTTTTACAAAAAAAATCAAATTCTTATGGTAATGGTTACTTTGTTAAATAAAAGCGTTTATTTACATATTTGTTTCTTATTAAAAGATTGTTACAGGGATTTTTTTATTAAAAAGATTAGCAAAATATTAACATAAAATATGTTAAATCGATTCCATATGCTTTAATATTTACGATAGTATCATTGTCATATTTCATAATTTTATTTTTGGTTAAATAAATATATTTTCAATGACGTTTTATTTAATTTTTATTTATCTGCATCATGAAAAGAATATAAAATTTTAACTTTTTAGTTAATCTACGTGTCTATCAGACTGGGATAAATTTCTTTCATCATTTATTTACAACAAAAGTCACATATAACAGCATCTACGATACCTTTGTCATTGTGAGATGTTAAGATAACCCCCTACTTGGGCGGCGCTTTTCAGCTGCAGAAATCACTTTTTATTGTAAATGACAACACTGAATGAATTAATCTATAAAAGGCCTTCAGATTCAGAGGCCATTTTGTTTCACCTTTGTACTCTGGATTATCTTAATTTAAAAAAAAAATATTTACTTGTTGAATATGGACGGATGAGCGATTTGTAAAAAATAAAAGTTAGGAACAATTAATTACCTTTGCTACCATTTATTTACTGAATAAATGATTTATATGAGAATGTGAAGTTTTATTTATGTTTACTCACACGTTTTAAATAAAATTACGTGTGTAGGGAAAATTTTAACTATCAGTTTTATTGTACAGAGGGGGGGGGGGGTCCATCAAGGACATTTGAGATGTTTTCATATCGTGATGCAGTGCCCTAGTGGCCGTAAAGTACACCAACAAATATAAAAATCGAAGATATTATAAAAACGTTCTCGCAAACGTGATAAGAAGATATCAGTTTTGCCAAGTTTTAACTGTACAGTACGGTTGTTCAGTTAAAGCCTACTGTTTGTATCTCTCTAGATCTAAAAATAGTCGCTTTTATAGTTACAATAGAACAATATTATGACATTGTACAAGCCATATGTAACAATTAAAATTTTTATTCGACCTTTTGATTAGGCGCATCCTTATTATGTCGAGTTTTCATATATTTGGGATATCACTCGCTTAGTTACCGTGCGCCAGTGGGTGCTCGTTGTTGAAGAAAGATGGAGAAATTATACGATAATGTGAAAACTGCTATACTCACCTTTAAATTGGACACTTGTTGCTGTTTCGCGCCGATACGGACTGGTGTCTTAATAACTGGTTATTTTAACATATTTATATCGGTAAGATTTACAACTTTTAGATTTAATTAGTTATTTGTTGATTATTTAACTAGTAGTTTGTAGTTGCCGGTTCGATTCTCAACAAGGCTGATATTAGTTTTTAATTGCATTTAGTTAGGTCAATTTTAGAGCATAGATTTAAGTCAAATACGCTGTAATATATTTTTAGCTTATTAAATGTTTTGTATAGTTTAAAAACAATTAAGCTTAGATTTTTTTTCAATTATAGAACGAGTTTTTCCCACCTTGTTGCAAAAGTTAACAAAAAGTTTGCCCAATTGTTCCAGTTAAGAAGTCTTGTAAATGTGGATTTCTACTATCGCAAAACTTGTACAAAAGAATGTCGTCGTTTTACTCAATTAAAAAATATTTGTTTCATCAGTGTAAGTCCACATTAACGTTTACAGATGTTATCTCTAGTGGGTACCGCGGACGGGGGCATCACGCCGCCGCTGATGGCGGTACAGGAGGTAATCCTGGACGATGAGGGATCCAAGGTGATCGGCACGCTGGCATACGGCACAGAGCTCGCCTTCAACATGCTGCTTTTGTGTGCTATCTATCGGGTAAGAATACTGTGATATTACGGTATAAAATGGACCTTGGTTTTTGACAATGCCACCCCTCCTAGGCTAATTTAATAATATTGGTGTATGTAATAAAAAAAAAATGATTTATCTAATGTCTTTTTTAATAAATTTTGAACAGTTTGCCTATGTTTTTAGAAAGACATAGTTCTACTGCGGACTTATATGTACTTTGGCATGGCGGCGATTGTCGCCTCTGTACTCGTCTACTCTATGGTCATCGCCGCCGTTACTCTTCTCACAAAGATCAATATTATTGTAAATTTTGGTAAGTGTTGAATATACAAAAGTTATGAACAGCCGTAGCCTAGTGATTGGTGGAATCCTAAGACAATTGACACTCATAATCAATAATTGGTGCTTAAGTTAGTCCCTAAGTATGGAATTTGAGAAATTCTCAGACTACAATATGGCTGTTTTCAGTAACCATTAATAACGACTTTTTCTCGTCAAATTCAATTTATTATTATAGAAAAAAAAAATAAGTACATCTAAAGAATAGATATGGCGATGTTAAAAGTAAGCTTTTTACCTTTCCAGTATTCCAGTGTTATGTCATACTTCTCGTCAGAAGTGCTATAGTTGACATCAAAGAGGAACTCAGCGAGCAGAATGGACACATAACTTTATATTCTGTGACAAAAATGACACCAGAGACCACTATCATAAAAGACATTGAAACTCCTCAAGAACCGGACTCTGATGTCACAGAAGATGACAAGAACGAAGAGAAGATCAAGCTTGAAACAGTCAATGAGAATTCGAAAGAAGAACACGTACAGAGTGTAAAATAATTTAACATGTTATCTTTTCAAAGCCTTCCCATTTCTAGAGTAAAACGAGTAAATAATAATTTGAGACTTTTTCTTATTCATATCCTTTCCTTTTCTATTGCCAGAAAAAGATTAAATTGGAAATTAAAAAACATATAATTCTTTTTATGTATAATTTAGTAATACAGTAGAGGTTAAAGCCCAAGGGAAACACAATATTAAGTTATAGAGGTTTTAAGTTATCAAGGGTCTATGTTAAAGAGGTTTAGGGCTCTGATGGGAAGGGAACACATTATTTTTTGAAGTTATAGAGGTTTTATGTTAGCGAGGTTTGAGTTATTGAGGTTCTATTGTAATGGTTTACTACATTAAACTAGTTTATTTAACAACTGATTTGTTGGTATACAGTCAGCAAAAGAATGTAATTTTCAATCATATAAGCAAGTGGACAAAAACTATCTTTTCAGAATGGAAGTGTTGAAATACTCCTTGGAATTTTTGTTTGTAATCTAAGATATTCTCTGTCAATGTTTTATCGAGAATGACTTGTTTCTGTAATGAAGGAGGAGTTTGTTATTATGTATATCATTCTGTACTTATAAAATGTATTAGTTAGTGCTATCTATTTTCAAACGGCCACGGAAGATCAGCTCATGTGCTGAGTGACTTTAAATCAATAAATAAATAAAATAAATTTCTCTATAATATAATTATTTCAGGAACTGGGTTAAAAAAAAGTCTATTACATGTTATTATCTATATTTTGGCTTATTCTTATAATATTAACATTGATAGAGGAATATCAAGTGTTATAACCTAAAAAAAAATTTCAATATTTTTAATTAAAAAAAACTAAACAATAGAGGTAGGCTTTACCACAACAAAGATTATAATTAAAAAACAATGTCTTACAATTACATGACAAATGTCAAAAAACGACAGATTACAAAAACATCACTTAACAACTTATACACTAAAGAAACCGTTTCAAAAACAGCTTTAGAAAAAAGAATAGTGAATTAAATCACATGAAAGTTTAATTACAATCATTTAGAAACTTAAATGAGGTCAACAGAACTTATGAATTAACTTTAGATGTATATTTTTATAGATTGCATATAATTTACTAAACATTTTTTGTTACTTAGACTGACCATAGATTGCCATGACATATGTATTAAATACAGCATTTGACCGTGAATCTGTCTCCGTGAAATTAAAAAAAAAACAAAGTGTGTACCCTATGTTCTTCCAGACTATCCTCTACATTTGTGCAAAATTTCATTAACATCAGTTCAGCAGTTTAGGCTACAAACTCTAACAAACATCCAACCTAACCTTTCGCATTTATAACATTAGTAAGATTTTTTAGTATTTGGTCTCTTAAAGAACATTATCAGAATTTCTTTAGCTTACTTGTTTTATAACTAATCTATTTATATTAATACTAGCTTTTGACCGCGAATCCGTCCGCGTGGTATTAAAAAAAAACAAAACCAAGTAACCAATGTGTTCTTCCAGACTATCTTCTACATGTATGCCAAATTTCATTGAGATCCGTTTAGCTGTTTAGGCTACAAACTCTAACAAACATCCATCTATCTAAACTTTCACATTTATAATATTAGTAAGATAGTAAAGAGTGTTTTTGTGTTTAACACTTCTTTGTTATGTAGGATGTCAGCAATCATTGTACATTTTTTAAGCATATTTATAACTAGCTTTCGCCCGCGACTCCATCCGCGTGGGATTAAAAAAATCAAAAGTGAGTCTATGTGCCTTAGTAGCCTTCTAGACCATCGTCCACATCTATACCAAATTTAATCGAAATCGGTTTAGTCATGTAGGCAACAAACTGTAAAGTCTATTCATCCATCTAAACTTTCGAGTTTATAATATTAGTAAGATAAAATAAACCCTACACTTATGACACAATATACTTATTGCAAAATTCCCATAATAACGGTAATTGTTTTTAATGGAAATATTAGCTTACTATGTCTCCATTAAGGGACTCAAAGACTACCCTAAGTTAACAACTAAGCCAAAGTTAACTGTCATAAAGCATAACAATCAAATTGCTATGTTCGTCAATTACTAAGAATAAGAAAAAAACAACACATAACCGCGAAAGCGGACCGGAATCGAAGCAAAAAATACGAAAAAAAAGTGAATATTTAACAAAGAAATCACAATAAATTTAAATTTTTAAACCTAGATATCATAGTTTGTTTAAAATCGAGTTCGTTTCTATTTCGTTCCGCTTTCGCAAATAACTATATGCAATCTATAAATATAAAAATATAATTATACTTACATATATAATCTTTATGAGCCCACATTTATATAACACTAATATCACTAACACTTCACAAACTGGTCCAAATAATACCAGGTTCATTTTTTAAACACTATAAAGTCGTATATTTAGTCTGTTTCACCAAAAGAATCACGAAAGAAGATTTAGAGTATATTCTTCTGAAGTATCTTCTTCTTCTTTCCAAGTATATTTAATTATCAAGCTTGAGCCGGTTCATACTGTTGGAGAGGCTGCCGCGACCTGAAATATACCATCTTTATTAATACAGTTTGGATGGATGGATGTTTTGCTCCATTATTGCTCAACAGAACTCAATTAGATTTGACAAAAATGTAAGGCAAAGTCTGGAAGAACACAGATTAGTTTTTAAAAATAGAAAGAAAAAAATCTTTATATTCCATGTAGTTACAACAGTTTACTAAACTGAACAAAATTGATATGTCTGATTATAGCTGGCGAAAAAAAAATTAATTTAAAACGAAAAAAAAAACAACAATCCATTTGGTTATCTTATTTATATCTTACTTCTTACTAAGTTTATAAATGCGAAAGTTTAGATGTTTGTTGTTTGTTTGATGTAGAGCATAGTCTAGAAAAAAACATAGGCTACTTTTTTTTATAACATGAGGTGGCAAACGAGCAACCGGCCACCTGATTTCGCCAATATGGCGAAGAGACCGCTGCCCATAAACATCCGCAGTAGCGGATGCGTTGCTTACCCTTATCTGACGGAGAAGAAGACGCACATAGAGAGGACACTTCCCCTTTCTATGCATCTCCTCCACCGTCAAATGCACTTCCCCTTCCCATCCTCTCCTTATAAGAAAAGGGTGGTAAGGAGAAAGGGACTTAAATTAGGCCTTCGGCACCACACTCATCAGACGAAACGCGGAATTGCTTCCACTTCACGCCTATCTTGTGTGTGGTCGTGGTATTACTAGGCGAGTCGGCCATTCGTGCTAAGATGTTAAAGCGGGCTCTACCACTATCGAACTTTTTTTTTTAATTCCACGCGGACGGAAAATCCCGATAGTTAGTAAATAAATAAATTTCTTACCTCTGCCATGTCCTGCAACTAAACTGGGAAAGTTTGACTCTGTGAGAGCGGGCGCTGCTCGGATCATGTGAGAATCTATAAAAAAGATAATGAAAAAACCTATAAATCTATCATCGGGAAAGTCACTTTGAGATTTCCTTAGTATAGATTTGCTTATAATACATATTAAAAAATACATATATTTAAGTCATAAGTATAATTAACTAAGTTTTTATTAAATATTGAATTTGAAGTCAATAAAATTACATTTAAAGTAAATATATCTTACTGATATTATAAATGCGAAAGTTTGAAGAATGGATGGATCTTGATGAAATTTATCATAGAAGTAGAGGATAGTCTGGCAGAAAACATAGGCTACTCACTTGTTTTTTTTTTAATTCCACGCGGACGGAGTCGCGGGCTAAAGCTAGTTATTTTCATATTATTATAACTTAAAATACTTACAATCTGTCTTCGGCATCCGCAATGGCACATGAACTCTCTTTTCTTTTTTCCTAGCTGAAAAATTATAAAAAAAAACACATTAAACATAGAATATTGGAAATAAATAATATTCTATATACTATTCTAAGACTTATTCAGACAAAAGCTATAAATTTTTTAAAAAAATCAAGATAATCATAAAAAAATTAACATTCGCAACAAAAAATCATTTTTATTTGTGCTTAATAAACTCTAAAACTACTGGAGTGTTTTTTTATTTTTTTTACCGATAAAAAGCCTATTTAGTACCAAATGACATAGGATATATATTTTATATATCTCTACTTTTGAAAAGTGGTAATAAGTAATTTCTCTCACCTCCTCCTTCGGTGACACTGCTGGTAGTGGAGTCGAGGAGTGATTCATTCACTGTGGAAGTATTTGATGAAGATGGTTCCTGTAACAATTATTAATTATTAATATTAGTATTTTGATAATTTTACTAATATTATAAATACTGAAGTTTGGATAATTGGATGTTTGACAGTTTATAGCCTAAACTTGTCTTGTCTTGATTAAATTTTGCAGATGTAAAGGACAGTCTTGAAGAACACATAGGCTTATTTTTGTGTCTTTTAATTCCCAGCAGACATAATCGCAGACTAAGGCTAGTTATTAATAAAATAAAAAACCTTTAAGATTTTTTTTTTAGTTAAAAATTATAGTTCACAAATGAAAGAAAAAAATTGTTTTAAGCCATCTATGAAGAAATTCAAAGATTATGTAAGAAGTATACCCGCAGTAGACAGACATTGACTATTGTCTGACACCCTTAATTTACGATAATTTGGAGTACTTTGGTGAAAAATCATACTATCATACTAATATAAATGTGAAAGAAAGTGGATGGATGTTAGTTTGTAGCATAAACGACTGAAAGGATTTCGATGAAATTTGGTGTAGACATAGAGAATAGTCTGGAAGAACATAGGCTACTTGCTTTTGTTTACTTTAATTCTACACGGAGTCGCGGGCGAAAACTAGTAACATATAAATGAATATTTACCGCAAACCCTGCAACGCTGGGCGGCAAGCGGCCCCTCTTCTGCTCCTGGAGAGCGTATATACCCTGCAACAATAATTCTATATTATATATCCATTTCAAATATTATGATATACACATTTTTGTTGAAATTCAGTTTTTTTAATATTACAAGAGGTAAAGTTTATAAGGATAATTGTTACATAATTTCAGAACAACTCAACAGAATCTTACTGAAAATTGACAAAGAACATAGCCTTAAAGAACACAGGGTATTAAGTATTTTTTTTTAAAATAGCCTATGTTCTTCCGGACTATCCTCGCATCTATTCTAAATTTCATCGAGATCCTTTTAGAAGTTTATGCAAAAAAACTCTAACAAACATCCATCCATCCATTTGTAATATTAAGAAGATTTAGGTGAAATTGACATATCTTACTAATATTATAAATGCAAAAATGTAGATAAATGGATGTTAGAATTTGTAGCCTAAACGGCTGGACGGATCTTAATAAAATTCAGCATAGATGTAGACAGTCTGGAAGAATAGGCTACTTACTTCAGTTGACGAAGTCACGGGCGACAGCTAGTATGACTTACTTCAATATCACAGCCATGCGGCACATGCCTGCCGGGCACCGGCTCCACGCCAGCCAGCGCGCAGCAGCCGTCCAGCACCGTGAAGGACCAGCACTTGATGCGGTACGAGCTGCACTCCACTGTCTTCTCCGTCCCCTCGTGGTACTGCAATACACGAACTAATTTACATCAGTCAATTGAGCGTCGGTGGTTCAGTGGTTTAAGCACTTGACTTGTAATCTACAGGTCTTGGGTTCGAATCCCGCCGCACCAATGTAATTTTCGATTTTTCGAATATTCATATGTACATAATTTACCCGACGTTCTTACGGTGAAGGAAAACATCGTGATGCCTGCACATATCGGCGAAGAAATTCAAAGATATGTGTGAAGTCAATCCACAGTGGGCCAGCATAGTTGACTAAGGCCTATGGGAGGGACATATAGTGAGCTGGTGATGATGATGAAATGTCCACAAAGAAGACATTCAAATAATATATAGACGAGACAGTGAACAATATTTTTACACGTGTACTTTTTCTTTGCTGGCATATCTAAGATCGCGTTAAACATATTTATTTAAAAAGATGGCACCTCTAAGCAAAAATGTTTGCCACAACTGATCTAATAGCTTTGTAATTATTATTTATCTATACTAATATAATAAAGCGTAAACACACAATATTTTGTAGCACAGGATGTCTGCAATCACAGCATATTTTTGAATAATTCATTCTTTAATAAAAAGCCCTACACTTACGACACGCTTTAGGCTATATATTTTCATGCTATTAAACTTAGGAAGCAAATAAATTGGAAAATAACCTTCCTACAGGAAAAAGACCATTAACTACAAGCTGCCAGCATTAAGGAAGCAAGGTTTGCAACATTAAGGAAGCAATTTGCAATTAAGAATTTGACAATTAGATTTTTATAAATTCATGCGGATGAAGCCGCACCGGAACAGCTAGTTTATAATATTCATTAAGATGTACCTCACATCCCAGTCCTAGTGTATACTTGAAAAGATCCTTTCGGAGTTGTGTCAGTGCCAGAGACTCCTTCGGGAAGCCTTCGTCAGTTCTTGTCTTTACTGAATTGATCAAGTTGTAAAACAGAGTATCCAGCCTGTATATACGGTATACTGAATCATCCTCCGCTGGAAATAAACAAGAATTATCATTACAAAGAGGATTTTTTAATCCCACTACAAATGTTCTAATTGAAAGTTTTAAAGAAATGCGCAAAACAAACATAATTACTATCATAAGAGACTCAAATTGATAATTTTAACAAAAACTTGTCAGTTATTAAGTTTTTTTTTTTTAATTTTTAAAACTAATTCACATTGAAGTAGTTCATATTGAAATTATGACATCTACCTTTTTTTTATGCCAATTATCTATAAAAGTAATACAGGGAAAAGCCTTAAATCAACAAAAAGATAGCTCTATTTCACTATACTTTTGAATCTACATTGTATTAAAAAGCATTATTCAGTTTTTAAACTATCAAAACATTGTCCACACAAGTGTTACATACACACACACACAAGTTTCATTGTAAAAAACACATTTTACTCACAACTCCGGCTACACAGTTGTCTGAAGAAATCCCGAATAGGCGTCACTTTTTCAGGCATCGTAAATATTGGCCGTACAACTTTACTATGGTTGCCTTTCTGTAAATAATCTAACAGGTGAGCCTGAATCTCTAGATAGTCACTCCGGGGTTTACTTTCATCCGGCCTTTCCAAACCATTCTCTATACAACTGAGTTTCACATCATTTGCATAACCAGTTGGTATGAAACCTGAAAATAAATGTTAGTAACCATTAGTAAGATAATAAATTGAGCTACCAATCAGCTCACTTGCTAGATGAAGTAGATCAGCGAACTGATTCGAAGATCAGCTTAATTAATATGAATTGAGTTATATCATTGCATTGAGCTGTGAGTCTTTAATTAGTTGCTGAGCCATAGCTCAATGATTCAAAGTTATGTGAGCTGATATTTTGAATCAGTTTATGATTTTCACATTTCTAATTTGTATTATCATTTAAAATTCAGTATTGAAAAAAAATGTTTGGAAAGAAATCAAAATGAATCTTATAAATAACCTCAATGTAGTTATGGATCACTTTATATTGAAATTTAACTGTCCCTTGTAACAGAAATAATTTAATGTGACAAGAAATTATTGAACTTTACAATGAAAGAACGAATTGTTACATACTTATATCAAAAGATAAGTAACCAGATATTTTAAAGACAAACAATACAAACAACAAATAGAGTTACTATCTTACCTGGGTTAATAATCTTATGATAGGTCTCCTCAATACCTCCGGCCAAACTGAATCGCAGCATTGAACATTCTCCAATAAGGTAATGACTGTCGTTGACTTTGCAGTAATAGTTCACATCCATTACGTAAAAAACATCCGTCAGCAAAGCTTAAATAAACAACAATACATTTAAACAAACATACTAAAATAAATGCTAAAATTTGATAGAATATTTGTCACTTTACATCTCAAAAAAGGTAGAAGTCTGGAAGAACACATAGGCTATAAAGTATTTTATTAATTATGCAAAGCGGCCAAAAGCTACTATCTACTTGTATTGAAAATTGTAAAAGAAACATAATTACAATCCATGACTAAGAGACTAGATTCAAGTCAATTTTTATAAAGCATTTTATCAGCTTGTTAAACTTCTTTGGAATAAATTTTTAATACTAGCCTCCTTATTGTTTTCCTTCCCCCTGGATCATCCCCCCCCAGGAGGAACATAGATTATCGGCTGGCAGTATTCGTACAATGTATTAAAATTGTAATTGTAACTTACTTCCTTTCATGTGGCTATAAGTCACAATGTTCTTAATATCTTCTTGTTCATATTCTTGTGCTTCTCGCATTTCCCTCTCTTGGTGTTCAATCTGAGATAGTGGTATACCTAGGACATAGGAAATAGTTAACATATGAAAAAGGTTATATATTAGATCATGAGAAATGTAACTGTTTTCGATATGGAAATGCTTTTCTTGAATTCTATCCTACACAGAGACATATTACAACTATTTCAATAGATTTGACAATATTTATTGTAACATTTTAGATGCTACAGATTAAAATAAATGGGCGAATTTTAGTTAATTAATAAAACATAAAGGTTTACTTACCTGTGGATGTATATTTTGCAACAGGAGCACCATTCTTCTGTTTAGCTTGTTTCGCCATAGCTTCATACTTTGAGCGGACACTAGCTGGCACCACCTGATTACAAACATAAAAACTGAAAGTCAACTAATAAAATCAGATTTGTCATCTTTTAGTTGCTAAGATTCTTTTAAGCCTTTATTGGTAGAGGTAGACCTAGGCAGCGATGGATGGATTGTGACATGATCAAAAAGGGAGTGATGACTGAGATGACGTATGATAGAGTTATGTGGAGGACAAAAACCTGTTGCGCCGACCCTACAGGAGTAGGATAAGGAGATGATGTTGATGATGATTATTTTAACCCTTTATTATGGGCAATTATTTCCAAATTGACATTATTGTAGAATAATTATCTATTTAAGTATCTAAATCAACCTTGGGAATATATCCCCCCTGTTTATAAGAAATCATTAGTTTTCACCATCAACATCATCATCAGCTCATTATACATCCCCACCGAGGGGCTCAGAGAATACCCTAACTAAGAGGTGACTAGGCCATAGTCAACCACTTTACTTATTTAAGAAAATGCTTACAGTTCACAAGCCAACCATGTGCTCGGGGTGGGGTAGCAGTCTAATATAACATGTAACTCGGAAACTATATTCTCTAACTTAAGATCACAATTTCATGTTTACCTTTGAGTGTAAACTTTATTGAAAATAATCAGCATTGTTAGTAGAAAAATAATTTAATTTTTAGTAGTTTTGGTTAGGTGCCTTACAAGTCAGAGGGTGAGGATAGTGCCCAATTGTTATTTGTTATTTTAAAGAAACATAAATTTTGATTAAACAAATATTGAAGTGTTTAAACCATATGAAATTCTATTTTCTTTGTATCTCTTTTTCCCAATGTATTGAATCTTATTGTGGCAATTTGCTTTTTCAAGAAATAAATTAAATATACATAGGAAGCTTCTTTGGACTATAAAAACATTACAACATAATAATGATGGTATATTATTCACATTTGTATGTATGGTATATGCAAAATAAACATAAGGATACATGATGATTTGATGATTTTACCAATAAACCAGATGTCATGTAGGTATTTTATAGTGAAGTGAATAATTCTGTATTTGAATTACAAGATATAGATTAAGATCATTATTCCTAAATTTAATAATAATGAAATACGTTACATTATACAAAAATGAATATACATTACCTTCCAGGAGGGACCGGCAGCTTCTGCAATTTCACCCAAATTTGCATAATTTATTCCCTTTTCAAGTTGTTCTTTCTTAAAATCAAGCATGTAAAAGTAAAAGGCGTTTCTGGGTGCTTTCTTCGGCATTTTTTCAATTCAAATAATAATATAAAAGTATCTTATCACTGTGAGATTTTGACAGGTAACGGTCGAACCAATTCTAAAAAGACAATAAATCAATTTATTAACAAACGCGAGTTGCCAGGTATTCCGGGGTTCCCCCATAGATATTTATGGAGAGGACAGTGAAACTGGACTGACATTCAACTGACATAGTCAAAATACTAACCAGCGCTGAGCACTAATGATTCCATACAATCCCCGCCTAGCCTGCGATTGTCTAACTGTACTGGCCAAGTGTAAACCGTATATTAGTTTCCCAAAACAAAACATACACAAAAATTCCACCATAAGTCGTTTTTTTTTTAAGAAAAACGTAAAAATTACTACAAGTCTTTAAAAACCGATAATGTTAATGTTAACCAAAGAGGATATAACCGTAAAAACCCATTGCTTGTACACGGATTATTTGGTCGTGCATTATCATGGCTCTACATTATTGCCTCTGCGAATTTACTATGAATTGTCATTTTGTGCTGTCAGTGAATTAAATCGAATATTTTCTCTGTCCAATATTCAATAGTTGCTCAATAAGTACTGCGTTTGACCGTTTTTAGTTTTTACAGTTATATCCTTATATTAAAAATAGGTAAAACCTTATTGCTGACCGCAGATTACCATTGAGATTTAATTCATTAATTTTGTAAAATTTGTGAACTTATACATTGCAATTTGCGATTAAGAGGTAAGTTGTTTTTCGATTTCATTTAATCACATTTTTATTTTAACTAAAACTAACGTGCCTACCTTAATAGCGTTGTTTTTGTGTGTTTTATATTTCGTCACCTATGATTTTTATATATGTAAATAATATAGTTCGATGTGGGGTATGAATTGTATTCTGTGTTCTATTACAAAGATTTGATCTAAATTGTCGGTATCCGGGCTTACTGAGCGAGTTAGTATCTGATATCGTAGGGTTACATTGAGTGTTCACATAGGTCTATATTCAAGAACATAGTGTGTTTCTATTTACAAAAATTACTTGCACAAGGGGGATGAAATTATAAAGATATAAATTTTGGTCATCTGGGATAAATAAATTTTTTTATATAAAATCTATTTTCTAATACATCATGCTAAATTTCATTGATTTTTGTAGATACACCCCTTTTTGTAGTACTATATAAAAAGTTCATTCGTTTTGAAAATTAATTGAAAAAAAAAACATTTTGAGCTTTTGGCTGTTTGAGTGTTAAGGGTAAAATTAACATAGGTTTTCTCTGCTCAAAGACATGATATCCTCAATTTATTGAGACATATTAGTTGAGATATGTATATCTGTATTTTATATGTACTAAATAAACTTAACAATGAGATTAATTTCAAATTTTCATCATTAGAAAGCTATTACCAAGTATAATAGGCAACTTTTACTATTATTTTTTATTCTGTACAGACAAAGCTACAAGCAAAAGCTAGTTATAAATTGTGGAAAACTGTAAATACATGTGATAAACATTTCATTTTTATGCCTGCACTAGTTGTTATGGTTAATTAAATCAGTCATTTGTTATCAGCTATTAATGAGAATTGTAAATGAATTTGCTGTTTTTTGAGACCATTTGCTGATTGTTTGAGTTTGTATTGGGATTAAAAAAAAAGGAATCAGTCTATGTATTCTTCCAGACTGCCTTACATCTATGCCATATTTCATAGAGATCTATTCAGCAGTGTAGGCTATATACTACAAACATCTATCCATCTAAACTTTTACATTTATGTTAGTAAGATTTTATTTGCTATATAATATTCAATAAATTATATTTGACCCTGTTCTCATATATTATGTGTGAAATTCAGTACACATCTAATTCTGACAAAAGAATTTGTAAAAACCATCTGATTTTTTGACCAATGGGATTATTAAATTGACTTGAAATGGGTTGTTTCTGAATTTACTCAATAGTTTATGTCTTAGTTTAAAACAATATTCAACCTTCGGGTCTCAATCTTAAAGTTCAAAGTATCTACATTTGTTACATAGAAGAGTGGCATTTCCTATCAAATATACCTATTGTATAATTAAATGGAATTTTCACCATCGGGAGAATTTTGACCAATTTATTATACTAAAAATCATTTGAATTCAAAAATATTGTTCCAGGTGTAGATACTGATGCAATAATGTGCTGGTTATCATGAAGCAGACCCTCATCGGCCATACAAGTGTCAATGACTACTTGATGATGTACCTGGCAAAATGGAAGCGGGTTGCTGTGATACTACTCTTTGTGTGGATTGTCGTCACATACCTTGTCATCTCACCGCTAAGGTAGGAGACAATTTTACCTTTGATCTAAAGGAACAACAGACTTGACAAGCATATGCGTAAGTGGCCACCTGAATCCACCGAAATGACAAAGCTAAAATCCTAAATCCGCTAAAATGAGTTGAGGTCATAATAAAAACATAATTTGTTTTGAATTTTTTATTCCATATATAGTACATGTACTATTATGTCAAAGTAGCTGTTGCTCGCGACTTTGCGTGAAATTAAAAAATATAGCCTATGTTACCAACGGTGAATCCAGGGGGGGGGTCATGGGGGTAATGACCACCCCTGATATGGTTGGTCAAAAGCTTAACAAAATAAACTTAATTTGTCAAGCTCTTGACTCGACCACGACTATGTGACCCCCCCTGGTGTCAAAGCTGGTTCCGCCCTTCTATGTTACTCAGTGATAACGTAGCATTTTAATGGTAAAAAAATATTTAAAACGGCCCAATAGTTTTTGAGTTATTCCAACATACAAAAATACAAATCTTTTCAACATAAATTACTCTAAACTTTTTATGCATGAACACTCGTAATAAATATGCCCTAAATTGTCAGGATGTCGGAATGGGTCGTAAATAATTCAATACGCAGCCTAAGTGACGCATTTTAGTCAATATTCATTCAATGTTACTTTGAAAATCCGTTTGATTCAAACGGTGAATTGTAGCGTCTCTGTTTACCTAATTTTGTAAACATTCGTAATATTTTCAAACATTACATAATTCAAGTGCAACGATCTTTGGTTGAAAGACATTGACATTGAATGTGTAAATATTAAATGACCTCCAGTGTGTACTGAAATCTATAGAGATATTGACCTGTCTTGATTCAGGTCCACCTAGAACACTTTAGCCATCAAGGCCTGAACCTGAAGTTACGTTGTACGTTAACACGTCTAAGATTATATGATACTAGCTGTTCCCGTGCTTCACCCGCAGGAAATTAAGGAAATTTTATTTCATTGTTTACATTTGTCAAATTACCAATAGCAAAAGTCAAATTGACATGACATGACAAACCTTAGCAATCTTGCTTCATTGATGTTGGCAGCAACTTATGGTCCCTTTCCCACATTAGGGTCTTTATCCAAAATGTTTACCCCTAAGTTTAATGGCGTGAAGATATATAGCCTAAAGCGTGACGTAAGTGTAAGACTATTTATTAAAAAAGAATTATTTAAAAATATGGTGCAGGTGCTGATATCTTAGGCAACAAAGAAGTGTGTGTTTACGCTTTATTATAATAGTATAGAATAGATATAGACTAGCTGTCGCTCGCGACTTTTCCATCTTGGAATTAACAAAACGGTAAAAAAATTGTTACTCAATGATAACATAGGTTTTTATTGGTGAAAGATTTTTTAAAATCAGCCCAGTAGTTTTCGATTTATTTTTATACATACAAAAATAAAAATCTTTTCTCTTTATAATATTAGTATGGATGTTAAATTGTCTTACAATTTTAAAAATATATCTTTTTACGTCCGTTTATTTATTTTTCTTTTGACCGCGACTGCGTCCGAGTGGAATAAAAAACACAAACATCTGTACAAAATTTCATCAAAATTCGTATAGTCGTTGAGGCTACAAACTTCAATCCATCCATCTAAACTTTCGCATTTATCATATTAGTATAATAAGTACGATTAAAAAATGTGAAGGATCTTTGTTTCTCACGTCCTTTTTTTTTAAAAATCCTATATTTTAGTAATAACACTAATTGATTAATCGCTGAAGCTGATTTTATTGAAATTTAACGAGGCAACGTTTGTTTAAAACAAGATGTTTAATTAACTTTAAATGCTGCTGTGTATATTTTTAAACAATTATTTAGAAATACATAATTTCAACGATAAACGTTAGGTAATTCTTATTAGTAACTAGCTGTTCCCGTGCGACTTCATCCGCATAAAATTATGAAAAAAATGTTATATTGTTTACATGTGTCAAATTATCAATTGCAAATGTCAAAATTAGAAACCATGCTTGTCAACCTTGCTTCCTTGATGTTGGCAGCAATTTATGGTCTCTTTCCCACATTAGGGTTTTTATCCAAAATATTTACCCCCTAAGTTTAATGGCGTGAAAATATATAGCCTAAAGCGAGACGTAAGTGTAGGGCTTTTTATTAAAAAAAGAGAATTATTCAAAAGTATGCTGTAATTGCTGAGATCTTAGGCAACAAGGAAGTGTGTGATTACGCTTTATTATAATAGTATAGATAATACATATTACGTACTGAGTTAATAATAATAATATTTTTTGGATTGTATAAACGCACATACACGCACAGTTTTTATTTAGAATTTATCAATTCCTATAGATAAAGTTTTGTTGGATTTTAATTTGATCGGATGTTAATTGGATTTTACAATAACACTTAGGATATTGCCAAAAAAATTACAAGATATCAATATATCAAATGGATTAACTTGTAATTGTAATTTAACCTAAAACACCAAAGTTTAAATATTGAAATTACCAATGCTATGTCACAGATAGTAAATTGTTAATTTCTCTTTTGTACATCGAAGTATTGTTTGGCAAAACCGTGTAATGTACACAACAAAACATTTTGACAAAGAATGCTTGTTACATATTGAAGCGTATCCGAAGTTTGTCAAGACCAACTTCACGGCGACTTGAGTAAAATTTGCTGTTGAATTATTAATAAGTCTACGTTCTGTTACAAGGACAGAACTCACAGTACATAGTTCCAGTAAAGCACAAATGTTTTTTCCGCACACTGCATTTGTGAAAAGTCGATAATTTTTCTGATAAAATGCTTCTGCCAGAGACTTTGTTCTCGCTGAAATAAAAAATAACTTAGCTATAGGTTCTTTCAGACTGTATTCTGTATCTCGATAAAATTTTGTCTAGATCCATTTTGGAGATTTGTAGTCACTAACATTCATCCTTCTAAACTTTCGTTTCAGTTAAAATAATATTATAAATGCGAAAGTTTATTTGGATGGATGTTTGTTAGAGTTTGTAGTCTAAACAGCTGAACGAATTTCGATGAAATTTGGTATTGATGTAGACGATAGTCTGGTAGAACACAGGCTACTCACTTTTGTTTTTTTTTTATTTGTCGCGGACTGAGTCGCGGGCAAAAGCTAATATTAGTTTGAAGTATGATAGAGTACGTGTTTTATGTCCTACTTGTATATGGCCGTAAGTTAATCAAAATGTATAGAAATAAATTTACAGTAACTATTAGTATATGTAGCTTGCATAACTGGTATTAAGTTATTATCTACACGTAAAGTTAATGATCATATCGAAATAATATGAGTATATAATAATTGAGGTTCGTTTGTCCTTGTGTACATCCGACACAAGGGCAGGTGAAAGTCACGGACGATCATTAGTATTGTTTTATTAAGGTAGACGAGACGAATTTTGTAATTTACTCTATAATTTTAATGGGGAACTGCAACTGACAAACGAGCAAGCAGAAATCGGAATTCGCCAAAGAAGCGAAGCGACGCTGCCTATAGACATCCGCATTTGTAGACAAAACACCACGGGCCGCACAGAAATGTGATATTTCTTCTATGCGTCCTATCTCCCGACAAACTCACTTCACTCCCATATTTCTTGTATGGATAGAATGGGATGCGGAAGTAAACTAAAAATAGGCAAAACATTATTAAACACATTCTTATCTCAGTTTTTTCTAGAGAGAATGAGAGGAATAATAATGTCTTTGTATGGACCTTCCGTCTCTAGATACCCACGGTTAAATAAACTCCAGGATAATTAGCTTATGTGTATGTAAATGTTATAAAAAGTTTCTGTTATAGTAATATAAATAGCATGAAGGATATTTTCATGTAACATACCAGTATTTATTTTTACTTTAATTAACTTATTTCTAGATACATCCTAGAGTTCCCACGGGTTATTGTTAGCTAACATCATTGAAATAACTCTCCAATGAAGAATTTGTTATAATATTGAATGAAAATATTACAGTTATGTCTTAAATTTTTACTGTCTTATTACGTGTTTAAATAAATATTACGCAATCTAGAAAACGGCGATGTGGATTTACCAGTGACATAGTTTATTTTACGGTAACAGTTATACATGAAGAATATAATATTTGAATTGTAAAAATAGCAACATGAAGATAACGTATTTTCCCGTTATGTTTGTTTTTGAGTAAAACTGTATCGGTAAACATAACGGCTCATGTAAGAAAATATTGACGGAGTCTTTTGCATGTGTTGCTTTTCGATTCGACGGTCTTATCCATATTTTTTAAATGTTATTCTATTGATTAGGGGTTATGAACCTTTACGTATCAACGTGTTTTTTTGGTGAAAAATAAATGCGGTCATAGATGTGTTATGAAATAATATTGATTTTCGGATTAATGGTTGCAGTCTCTATCGCAGGGATCCTTATATTTACCTACTTCATACATTTTTCTTAATCCATTTAGACGTGCCCAAAATATTGTATCCATGCATCTAGTTGAGATTATATTCATAGAGAAAGTAGTAAAACATACCAGTATTACTTGAGCAAAATATTATGTACTAGCTTTCGCTCACGACTTCGTCTGAGTGGAATTAAAGAAAACAAAAGTGAGTAGCCTAAGTGTTCTACCGAATTTCATCGAGATCCTTTTAGCCGTTTAGGCTACAAACTACTAACAAACATCCATCCATCCATCTAAACTTTCGCATTTATAATATTAGTTAAGATTGCCTAAAATCCCTCATTCGAAAACAATGTAAAAGCCAAATAAACGCTCTGAATCATAGACATGTGTAATTTTTTTTTTTATTTCAGATAATAGAAATTGAATTAAAGAAGTTTATCGCTTTGGGTACTAGTGCTATGCTATCTGGAAAATCCACCCTAAATATTTAAAGGTCACGGTCAATATCTATACTTATCTATACTATTATAATAAAGCGTAAACACTCACTGGTACACTTCTACAGTGGTAGAGCCCACTTTAACATCTGCGCACGAATGGGCCGGCTCGTCCGGTGCAATACCACGACCACACAGAAAACAGGCGTGAAGTGGAAGCAATACCGCGTTTCGTCTGATGAGTGTGGTGCCTAATTTTAGTCCCTTTCCCTTTCTATCATTTTCTTAAGAGGAAATGATGGGAAGGAAAAGTGGATTTGACGATGAAGGAGACGCATAGGAAAGGTAAATGTCCCCTTTTATGTGCGCCTCCTCCGTCAGATAAGGGTAGGCAACGCATCTTCAATTCCGGATGTTTATGGGCATCGGTCGCTTTCCATTTCGGTGAATTTAGGTGGCCGCTTGCTCTTTTGCCACCTTATATTAAAAAAAAAACTTCTTTGTTGCCTAAGATATCAGCAATAACAGGATATTTTGAATAATTCTTTTTTTAATAAAAAGCCCTACACTTGCGTCACGTTTAGGCTATATATTTTAACGCCATTAAACTTAAGGGGTAAATATTTTGGATAAAAACCCTAATGGGGAGAAAGAGACCATAAGTTGCTGCCAACATCATGTCATTTTGACATTTGCTATTTGATAGTTTGACAAATGTAAACAATAAAAAAAAATTCATAATGTCATGCGGATGCCGCAGGGGAACAGCTTGTTAAGTAACACATATAAAGCCAAATGTTACTCAAACCGAAATGAATCCATAACAAGCAAAAACAATAAACTGATTTTCTTATCGAAACGTACTTGTGTTGTTTTCATTGTGCGTTGTTTTAGTTTCAAGTCGAAAAATATAAAATAAGGAAATAACGTTAATAATATTGATCAATAAAGTTCGAATCAAAAAACACAACATAATTCAACTGTAACATAGACGGGTTGGCAGAGACTGCAGACCACCTTGCGGGGTCCTGACTTGCTTCTACGTTCAATGTTAGTTTGTAGCTTAAACGGCTAAATGATCTCGATGAAATTTGGCATAGATACTTTCCTTTTTTTTTAATTCCTCGTGGACAGAGACGCGTGCGAATGCTAGTATCTAATAATTGTACTATTAAATGCAAATTAATTTTATTGAAAGATTTTCATATTTGTGGTACAAATAAACCAACTAGCGATGATAAAATAATAGATAATACGAGCTGTTGCCCGCGACTTCGTCCGCGTGGTATTAGAAGATATAGGAACTATATAAATTACAAAAAGCTACGTATCCCTCGGGAACCGGACATTTCTCGGTGATGAAGCTTATCCCATGTGTACTCCAGACTTTGTTTCATATATATGTGCCAAATTAATTAATTAAATTAATGAATCCCACGGGAACCGTAACTACTCCCGGGATAAAAAGTAGCCTATGTGTTCTTCCAGACTCTGTTCTAAACCTGTGCCAAATTTCATTGAGATCCGTTCAGCCGTTTAGGCTACAAACGCTAACAAACATCCATCCATCCATCAATCCATCCATCCATCCATCTAAACTTTCGCATTTAAGTAAGATGAATATTTCCGACAGATTGGAACATTGTTCTTATATCCTGGTATGTTTCAGGTGCAGCAATGGCATGTCAGACGACGAAGTTCTGGAGTTCCAGGAGCAGTATAGGAGTCTATCCTCGCAGTTGGAGTCACTCCGGCAGCAGCACAGCAACCTGATCGCGCAGATCAGGAAGTCTTCGGGGTAAGTTGACAGGTGACACGAAGATCGTATACACGTCGGGCGAGATACGATATTGAGAAGAGCGATTTGTTTAATTTTTGACTGACTTCCCAAAAGAAGGAGGTCCCCAATTCTGTGTTTTTTATGTGTCACGGCATAACTCCGCCGCTAGTGGACCGATTTTGATAATTCTTCTATCCGAAAGGTAGTGCTTGCAGGTGGGTCTCATTTTTTTGTTTGATTTTTGGAGTCAAAGACTACGTCGTAGATAAATAGTTTAGCTCATAATCGTGCGACGAAATTTGGGTTTTTTTTTGCTTTTTTTTTTAATGTATTTTGTTTGGAAGTCGGTTTTGCTTTTTTCTAAGAATATCCGGCGATAACTTGTTCTAAAACGTACCGTCCTCGTGTAGTCTAATTGGCATGAGACCATTTTGACTACAATCTGAAAATTGGGATATTTTACTGGATTCAGATTGAATGATGTAAAAATCGGTTATGCTAAAATCAGTAATATTAAAAACTAGCTGTTGCCCGCGACTATGTCCGCGTGAAATTAAAAAAGCAATAAAAATATGGCCTATGTTAATCACTGATAAGGTACTTTTGGAACTTTTTAGAATTAGCCCAGTAGTTTTTGAGGAATTTCAATACCTCTAAGATACACTTAAAAATATTAATCTTTCTTCTTTATGCTATTAGTATAGATGTACTGGTAGTCCGTGGAATAATATCTTTTTAGCAACGCGTCTGTTCCTTTCATATGCGGATGTCTGACGTCGATGGTTATTGGTCCCACTACTAGTTTACGCTCCTTCTTTTGTAAAAAATGTGTACTTTTTGTGATCAAGCTTTAGGCGTTGTGCAAATAACATTTTTTCTCTTCAAGGTTAGCTCTTTTTGTTGCTTTTATGAAATGTACCTATAATGTGATAGGTTAATAATTTTTTGTTGAGTATAATATAGATGTAGGGTTGTTAAAACTTTTACCGGCTTTGAGCGTCTGTGTCGAGTGGCTCGAAATTGCGACGTTACGAAACTTGCCCACAATAGAAGCTAGATGAAAGTAGACGTCCCCTCCCACAGTAGCCATGTCTGCGACAAAGTACTCTTTGTCAGTAGGGCTGTCTACTTTCAATAGACAATTTTGGGACAAATTCAAAGAGTGACAGCCCTATATATACTGGTTTTCTGTATAGTTTTTGTTATTTAAAACCGTAATTTATCGTACATTCATCTAGCCATATGTACCAGCTGTTACAACGGAAGTCATTTATACCTCATGAACAATCAAAACACACTTATTTCAATAGTAATTGAGCAAATATAATTTGTAACCTTGAAAGATAAATGAATATGAGTGTCAAAGCAGTTGTGTAAATGTAAAATACTTTTATAGTAGGAAATTAAGATCATGCATGTGTACAGTCGCGAAAATACGCGGTGTCCCACTTAGGAAAAATTGCCTTGGTTATTGCAACCAGACAAACTCAGTCTCCTTCTACAAATAACTAATTAGATAGCAGTGAGTGCAAATGAAGGGATAATAATAAAAAAAAATTAGCCTCACAAACTTTTTTTATCTACAGATACATTTATAAGCTCCGTTGTATTGATTGTTAGAACCGCGAGTTTTCCCGACTGTACATACGTTTGTCTGTTCTTTGACATAAGTACAGACTTATGTGTACTATGAGTAAGTCTGTAGAGTGCTCCTGTGGGAATGTACAAAGGAACTAATTGCAGTATTCAGAGGACTAGAAAGTTCCATGTCGACGGTTCCACTATAATTAGCTTCAATACAATGAATTGTAAAACATTTGTGCAAGATTCTATGCTTTCAAGACGTAAACTTTGTGTGTTGATTTTTTATTATTTATGTGTTGGTTGTTATGTCCGTTTGTCACGATCTCCTGATAAAAAAATTATGATCTTCTAATTATATTCTAACTTCTCATTAGTATTATAAATGCAAAAGTTTAGATCTAAACAGAAAAAAAACGGCTGAACGGATATCGTTGAAATTTACTACCAAAAATAGGCTACTAGTTATTTCTTTGTAATTTCACGCGGACGGAGTCGAGGTCGAAATCTAGTAGTGATTTTGAAAATTACAGTTTTGTTGATGGAATAATAGTTTGACATGCTTTGCAGAGAAACGTTAAACTTGCAAATAATGCTAGGTTTTGCATTAATTGCATGTAAATTGCGTGTCGGTAATGCTTACGTTGTCGAGATTTACGGTTATTAAAGTACGATGATTGCAAATGATGTGACAAACTGCTATATCTGAAGAGTTACATTCTTAAAAGATTTAATAAGATACCAGCTTTCACATGCGATTTCGTCCGCGTGGTCTATGTGTTCTTCCAGACTCATCATCAACTTGCCCTTTTCCCTTATGGACGGTCAGCACAGTATGTGCTGCTCTTTCATACATTTCTATCAGCCGTCATGTCTGAATCCACCCCCTTATTCATATCCTCTTTTACGCAATCTATCCATACTTTCTTCGGTTTTCCTTTTCCGTTTTAGCCATTCATTCATTCTTAACACTTTGTGGTTTAAGTCTCGTCACGCATGTTTATACCACGCTAACCTTTTGCTTCTCAATTTCTCCACCACTGGCGCTACTTTCAAACTTCCTCTAATATACACATTCTTAACTTTATCCAACTTTAATGTGTTCATCCAGACTATGCTCTATATCTAAGCTAAATTTTCAGCTATTTAGCTGGCAAACTCTAAAACATCTATCCATTTAAACTTTCGCATTTATAATATAGGTAAGATAAGTAAGATGTGACTGTTTGTGTCGAAACTTTGTTATGTAAGCGGTTTATAACTTTACAGATAAAAGTGACGAAAGTATATGTCGATTTTAAATGCTTGTTGAAAATTATTTTCATATTGCGTTTGCGGACGTTGCGGAATTATGTGACTCATCATACCTTAATTATAACATATTCGATCGTTTTATTATATTGTTAAACTAGCTGTTCCCGTGCGACTTCATTCGCATGCAATTATGAAAATTTGATTTTATTGTTTACATTTGTCAAATTATCAATAGCAAATGTCAAAATGACATGACATTACAAACCTTGGCAATCTTGCTTCCTTGATGTTGACAGCAACTTATGGTCTCTTTCCCACATTAGGGTTTTTATCCAAAATATTTACCAACTAAGTTTAATGACGTGAAAATATAAAGCCTAAAGCGTGACGTAAGTGTAAGGCTTTTTATTAAAAAAAGAATTATTTAAAAATATGCTGTAATTGCTGACATCTTAGGCAACAAAAAAGTGTGTGTTTACGCTTTATTATAATAGTATAGATAGTATAGAGTTTAAATTATTTTTCTTGTTATTTTTAAAACTAGATTAAATACATGAAATTAACTTCCTCATGCATATTAACTGTGTCAATGTTAAGACGAGTTAAAGAGCACGTGTTATCAAGACATTATCTTTGTAGTGTTGAAAGTTTATTATCTTTGTATTATTTGAAGTAAGAAATGACTCGGAAATGTCTGGTGTGAATCTTGGAAAGAAGATGTTTTTCCTCGTTTTATTAAAAGAGGAACTAAACGAGTTTTTAAGATAGTTTTTTGTACGGTAAAAGGATTTTTTTTTTAAACCAATACGACTTAGGGTCCTTCTAGAAGCGAGCCTACAATTTTCTCAAAGGCCGGTAACGCATCTGTAGTTCCTCCGGTGTTTCGTATGTCTGGGCGTTGACCACATCGGTGTTCCCGCTGCTCGTTTGCCCCTTTCTCTCATATAAAAAACATATTCGTGAAAATCAAAGATGTGTGTGTAGTTTAAAAAAATGATATAATTGTAACTAGCGATATTAATTTTAACACTCGGCTAGAGATTTCGTTAGGTCGCGCTTTCGGATACGTCTAATGACAGACGCTGTCAGATAGGGATGTGACGTATACAATCATTTAGGGCCTGCACACCACTGGCTAATTGAGGCTGACATAGATTAAAAATGACGTCACTGTCAGATCAGGTAACAAAATCCGATCCATTACATATTTTACACGTTGGATTGTTGACAGACAGTTTACAATTTTGTGGGATAGGCCCTTAGTGTTGCCGGTACTATGCTATGGTACTGATTTTCTTAACAGTAGTCAACCAACCCGCAATAAGCCTGGTTGTATGGCTTAGTCACCTTGAGTTGCTTTCGAGTCATTGGAGAAATGTACATTATAAGTTGAAGATAGTTATTTTGAGTTAAAAGAATACAATTTGTAACGAAGTCTTCGGTCTACACGTGGCAATAACATACTTTAATTTATTATGACTTTAAAGATAATTTAACGTTCACTGAGAAACTGTATTATTGTCGAAGTTATTTATTAAAAATATATAAAAGTAGAGTTTATCGGACATTAACTTAACTGATGACCTTTTCTATACAAGTTCAATGGAACAATAACCGTTTACTTTACAATTATACGAATAATTACTATGAAAGTTAACCAATTTGGTTACGATATCTTTTTATTTTATAACAAGCTTTCGTCCACGGAACTAAAAAAAAAACAAAAATAAGTACTATGTGTTCTTCCAAACTATTCTCTACATCTATGCCGAATTTCATCGAGTTATGTTTCCCAGTTTAGGCTACAAACTCTAATAAAAATCCATCCACCTAAACTTTCGCATGTATAATATTAGTAAGATAGAAAGGTTAGTAAAACATTAGTAAAGTGTAAGCACTAAAATAAGCGGTAACTATGGGTCCCTAGTGTGTTTCCCAGTCTGGGATGTTTTATTAAATTATAGATGTATATCGAATATACGACTTTATATATCTCTACCCGATATACTTTGAGAAATTCAATAACTTAACCCGTGTTTTGTTCCAGGTTAAATGGTAATCTAAAAGACCTGGACCCGTCATTGTTCGAATCAGCTCAGGGTCCAAGTGAGGAGTATGAGAATCTCAGAAGACGTATCTACTCCAACACGAAGGAGATATGGTACTACATCAACCATGAGATAAGTAAACTTATCGCGGATGAGGTCAAGGTGGAGGCGCTGCAAGGGATTTTGGATCAAATAGCTGATAGAAAAAGGTATGTTTTAGAACGAAATAAAGTCTACTGATAGAGTTTTTTGATTTAAGTTCTTGTTTCAAACTCAAATATTAGTGAAGAAAGTTTGTATTTCAGATTTGGATGCTTTAAAACTGATATTAATATGAAAATCTATTCATTCTAGTAAATAACCTAAATAGTTTTTGTTTTACCTTGAAAAAAATAAAAAAAAAAGTTTCTCGCGACTTTGTTCGCGTCAAACTTAGAAATATAGCCTATGTTACTCAGCGATATCGTAGGTTTCTAATTGATTTTTTTTAAATTGTCCCAGTAGTTTTTGAGTTATTTTATGATGGTAATATACCCTATCACACTCCTGGGAAGAATACGTATCGAAGGGACACCTCTCTCGTCAAGATCCGTTCAGTCTTGGTTCCATGCGGTTACAATACAAAGTTTCTTATATAGTGTTTACTGTATTGTAGGTCGTTGTTATCAGACCAGCAGCAGCTTCCAGAAATAGACGGGTACAAGGAATGGAGGGAAATAGAGGCTGCAAATGTCAGCGATCTGGTGCAGAGAAGGTTGAAGTATCTACAGAATCCAGCCGATTGTAAAGACGCGAGGAAGGTTATATGCAACTTGAATAAGGTAAGAATTTATTGTAAAGAATATTGATTTTTACATGCGAAAAAACCATTGCGAAAATCCGCAGTGTTCTTTTTTTTTATAATATAAGGTGGCAAACGAGCAAGCGACCACCTGAATCCACCGAAACGGAAAGCGACCGCTGCCCATAAACATCCGCAATTGCAGATGCGTCGCCTACCCTTAATTGACGGAAGAGGAGACGCACATGAAGAGGACATTTCCCCTTCCTATGCGTCTCCTCCACCGTCAAATCCAATTTTCCTTCCCATCCTTTCCACTAAAGATATGGGTGGAAAGGTAAAGAGACTAAAATTAGGTCTCCGGCACCACACTCATCAGACTGTACGCGGAATTGCTTCCACTTAACGCCTGTTTTCTGTGTGGTCGTGGTATTGCTGGGGGCGAGCCGATCCATTCGTGCGAAGATGTTAAAGCGGGCTCTACCACTGTTCAACTTATGAATCGTTTTTAGCAAATTTTGGAGCGGTTTATATTATTGGTAGCATAATTTATTAGGCGACTAAACTTCGGTCCGTGTATGGTGGTACTAATGTTAAGAACATTTTTTAAAAGGAAATTCATGTATTTTACTACGCATAAAACGTTTGATCGTAAATCTATAGTAATTGTTTTGAAGTCATTATGCGCATACAATGAATGGAACGCTTATATTGTTTGTTTATGGGTTTCGCTAAGTGTTTGTCCTTGCTTAAGTATTGTTACTAAATGCAATTTGCTGGAACTATACTTATAAGTATATGATTTTGGAATAGAATTTAGAGTTTACGTTTAGCTTTATAATATAAACGCGTCTACATAAGATGGTTTAGAGCGCACACTTTTGACTAAACTATCGCACAACGGTTGTGCGATTGTCCATTGTTTCACAACGATTTCAACTGTTTTTTACAACTTAAAATCCTTCAGTGTGCGCACCATATAAGCTTATAGGAATCAAAGCGAGACTAAACAGTTGTGCGATAGTTTAGTAAAATGTGTGCGCACGCTCTTAGTATAGGCGTGTTAGTTAGTAAACGTTTAAAAGTATGTTATTTATATTTGTGTGTTAAACGCAGAGGGGGCGTTGACATGTTTCGTCATCTGTCTACCGTCAGCATTGTTTGGTTAGGCGTGAATTTTTGATGGTAAACATTGTAGGGTTAATGAACTAGTATTTGACAAGTAACCAATATATGTCAATACAAATTTATATAATTTAATTTCAGTTTACAGATAATTTTTATTAACATATAAAACACCATTACAAAATTTCCATTTCTTGGTATTTAGGTATAAAGATATGATATCATTTCAATAATTTGAATATAAATTGCTTGATGTAAATGTAATGTTTTTTTAAATGTAATAAATACCTAAATTGATATGATGATTACTTCGTAATTACCTTTGTTGGTTACTAGTTGTTCTTCGGGACTTCGTCTGTGTGAAAATTAAAATATAGCCTGTATTAATCGCAAAAAATTACCTTTTTTAACTGTGGAATAATTTAAAAAAAAGCCCAGCAGATTTGAGTTATTTAAATACATACAAAAATACAAATCTTTCCTCTTTATAATATTAGTATAGATATACTCGATTTTTTTTCTTATAATGTAATTCAATGAATATAATTATCAAATTCATCCTGAACAAAAGCATATTTCTAAAATTCATAAGCTCTGAAAATGCTTGTAGTGTATTAAAAAGTTTAATCCACATTCTGATTGACATAGTTCTTTTCAATGGCATTAGATTGTTACTTTGTTCTCGTCTGGGGATTAGAGTGAAGTGAACAGTAAATGAGTCGGTGAGATTTCGCATCTTGCATTTTATTGTTATATTTCTACGTTATTTGCAACGGTTTTTTTTTATGTTTTCTTGTTGGTAAAGTGGGCGATAACGCCCCAATCTGTCCTGGCTAAGTATGAACCAGGCTTTATTGTGAATATATCTTTGGTCGTAATTACTTTCTTTTTTCCAGGGTTGTGGTTTCGGTTGTCAGTTACACCATATTGTGTACTGTTTGATATTCGCGTATGCGACCGAAAGGACCCTAATACTAAACTCCAAGGGCTGGCGTTACAACAGTAAAGGCTGGGACTACGTGTTCCATCCGATCTCTGACAGCTGTACGACTGCGTTTGATGATAAAGTAATGCCCTGGCCAGGTGAGTTGACTAGCTGTTGCCAGCGACTTCATTCGCACAGTATTAAAAATTACGTATCCCTCGAGAACCTGACATTTTTCGGGAACGAATCGTCTCAGATGTGTTACTCCAAACTTTGTTTTATATTTGTGGAAAATTTCAATAATATGCTGAACCGTTGTAGAATTATCGATTAAACATAAAAAAAATACAAAATCAATATATCCCACGGGAAACGCGATTTCCGGAATTAAAAGTAGCTTATGTGTTCTTCCAAACTATCCACTACATCTATGCCAAACTTCATCGAGATCCGTTCAGTAGGTTAGGCTACAAACTCTTAAAAGCAGATTCGATTTTTCTTTCAAATATTATCATTATTTATTACTGTCTTTTGCCAGCGACTTTGTCTGTGCGGTATTAAAAAAACTCAGCAAGTAGTCTAGGAGTTCTTTTAGACTATCTTACATATGTGTCAAATTTAATTGTGATCCAATAAGTTGTTTTGTTTAATATTAATATGAGGTATGAGTTAATAGTAATTAAATCTTAATTTCCAGTGAGTTATGACGCGAAGGTTGTGTCGTTGCCGTTCATAGACTCAATCTCTCAGAAGCCCAAGTTCCTGCCGCTCGCGATACCGAAAGACCTCGCACATAGGTACGCATAGGTTTGTTTTATTTTATATAAATATTACAAATCTGTACTTCTATACTTAACATTATAAAGAGGAATTTTTGCATGTATCGAAATAACTAAAAAACTACTAGGGTAATTACAAAAATCCTTTACCATTAAAAAGCGACGTTATCAGTATGTAGCGAGCAATAGCTAGAATGCTAAAAAAATAATAGAAAGTCAGAATTCCAATGGTAAAAGATTTTCTTTTAAAGTACCCCAGTAGTTTTTGAGTTTTGTTTTTTTAATAAACATCCTCATCATACTAGTATAGTTTTCTTCTTAAAAAAAACCTTTGCAATACACTTAACAATATAAAACTTTAACTTAGAGTTACTAATGAAAATAAATAGTAAAGTTAACTTTTTCAGTCTATTAAAAATAATACTTATTTTGAGGTGCAATAATATTTTTTAATATGTGTTTTAAATATTATATTTTTCGCAATATGGGCTGGTATGAATTAACCTATAAAAACCTATTAAATGTAACTTGTCGTTTAGGATAGTGAGATTCAACGGCGACCCTTCCTCCTGGTGGATAGGTCAGATGCTGAAGTACATCCTGAAGCCTCGCGACAGCATGCAGAAGGCCATCAACGAGACCATTGCTAATATGAACTTCAAGTCGCCTATAGTGGGGTGAGTAGAACTTTGAATAACGATCTGTGACGTCATAAAACACTAATGAAGCGCTAGTAAAAACCACTTAGGTTTTAGCGTTTCTTATGTAAAATTAGTTTTAAGCATTGTTAAAAGATAGATAAAAAACTGACATACACTGGATTTTTTAAATTAGAACTTTAGGGTAGTTTTCTATGAGAAATCTCCCATAAGAGATATTTTTACGTTTACTATATTCGATAGTAAAATATCAATTATAAATAACTAGTTTTCAACGCTATTAAACATTTTAATGCATGTTTTATAGCGGTCGGTGGCTTTGTGTTTTGTGAGGGATAATTAAAGTTTTGCGATAAAAGTAATGCGAGTGTTTACGATTGTTTAACTATTGTTGAAAACGCATATCACATGCCATATTGTGTTAACTGCAGTTAAATTTATACTGAAGGTTCTCTAGTGTATAATTTTTATTTATTAACTGTAAAACATGTTTCTAATTAATATTAAAAATACAAACAAAAGCAAGTCTAGACTAATATAATAAAGCCTAAACACACAGTTATGTAGGATGTCAACATTTACAGTATTTTTGAATTACCCTTTTTTAATAAAAAGGCTATACATCCTACACTGAGGACACGCTTTAGAGTATTTATTTTCACGCTATTAAACTTAGAGGGAGAAAACCCGTCATGTAGGAAAGGGGTCATAAATTACAAGCTGATAACATCAAAGAAGTCGCCATGGTAACAGTAATTGTTATCCAATGTTGCTTGCAATGGGCTTTGTTGACTTTGTGCATTTGAATTTTGACATTCGCAATAGAAAATTTCACAAGTAAAATAAAGTTTTTATAATTTCGTGTAAAGCCGCACGGGAACAACTAGTGTTTATATATCTTTGCTTATGTTAAAAAGAGGAAAGATTTGGATTTTTGTATGTCTTGAACTCGAAAACTACTGTGCCGATTTCAAAAATTCACCATTAAAAAGCTACGTTATCAGTAACATAGGCTACATTTTAATTTCACGCAGACGATGTCGCGAGCACTAGCTATATATATTATAAACAATGTCCTTATGTATTCCAGGGTACACATCCGGCGCACGGACAAGGTGGGCACGGAGGCCGCGTTCCACCACATCCGCGAGTACATGACGCACGTGCAGGACTACTACGACCAGCTCGAGCTGACCCGCGCCGTGCACACGCGTAGGGTCTACCTCGCCACGGATGACGCTAATGTTAGTATTATATTTTTTGTACTAATACTAGAAATTGCTCGTGACTTCGTTGCGAAATTAAAAAAATAATGAAAACATAGCATATGTTACTCACAGATAAATGACCTGTCTAATGCTGAAGGAATTTTTGAATTTGCCCCAGTAGTTTTTGGGTTATTTCAAAAATACAAATCATTCCTCTTTATAATATTAGTATCTATACTCATATTACAAAGTTAAAGGTTTGTATTTTTGTATGCATTAAAATAACTCAAAAACTACTGGGTCAATTTTAAAAATTCTTTCACCATTAAGAAGATACGTTATCAGTGAGTAACATAGGCTATATTTTTTGTTTAATTTCACGCGGGCGATGTCGCGAGCCACAGCTATACTAATATTATAAATGCGAAAGTTTAGATGGATGGATGGATGTTTGTTTTTAGCCTAAATGGCTGAACGGATTTCAACAAAATTTGGCGTAGATATTGAGGATAGTCTGGAAAAACACATAGGCCACTCACTTTTTTGCTTTTTTCTTGATTTTATGCAGGCGAAATAATTTAACATAAATATGTTTTTACTTTTAAATAAATATAACTGTTGTCAGCGCCATCTATTATCTGTTGTTAACACGCAGGTGTTGGAGGACGCTCGCAAGAAGTACCCGGAGTACGAGTTCGTGGGCGACGCGTCCATCGCGAAGACGGCGGCCACGCACCGCCGCTACACGCCGCTGTCGCTGGCCGGCCTGCTGGTGGACCTGCGCATGCTGGCCAGCTGCGACTACATCGTCTGCACCTTCAGTAGTCAGGTAATACTATTATTAGGGTTGTAACGGAACCTAGCCTCCGCTTCCGCAAGTGCGGAACTTCGAAGTAGTAAGAAAAACATTCACCGGTACTTTCTCTGAAAGGTTCAACAAAGTTCACCTTTTTAAAAATAAACTATACAGTGTTTAAATATTATTTTAATGAAATGCTTTTGAGGAATTCTCAATAAATAGCGTTAGTGATGATTATATTAAAAATGTTTCAAGTGAAATGCCACCTCTATATATTTGAATCTCTGTGTTAAATGACTAATCATAATCATATGGACAATTACTTCGTTTAAAAACGTAGTATTTATTGTATTATATATTTAGTTTTAAATTATTTGGTATATCTAATTAAATAACGAAATGTTTCCAGGTGGGTCGTGTGGCGTACGAGATGATGCAGGCGAACAGAGCGGACGCAGCGAATAGCTACTTCTCTCTCGACGATATTTATTACTTCGGCGGTCAGAACGCGCACGACCGCGCCGCGCTCATGCCGCACGACGCGCACGCGCACGCGCATGATGAGATATCCTTCCAGGTACGCTTCTAATCTATATTTATTTGTCAAAATCTCAATTGCAAATGTCAAAATTACCGTTACCATAAAATCCTTGCTTCCTTAATGTTGGCAGCTTGTAGTTTATGGTCCCTTTCCCTCGTGTTTTTTTCTAATTTATTTACCCCCTAAGTTTAGTAGCATAAAAATATATAGCTTAAAACGTGTCGTAAGTGTAGCTTTTTATTAAAGTAAGTGTTATTTAAAATTATGATGTCATTGCTGACATAGTTAATAGATACTTCTATACTAATCTAATAAAGCGTAAACACACACAACCATAGCGTATTTTGAATATAAAGATTTGGCGATGACTACACATAAGTAGGAGAAATATTCTTGCCAAATGTCATCTAGGTCCATTAAGTCTTGGAGATACTTAGTCATAAACATCCATCCATCCAAACTATTTATTTTCAGGTGGGAGACCTGATAGGTGTTGCCGGTAACCACTGGAATGGTTTCGGTCGCGGCACTAACAAGAGAACTAATTTGGTAAGTTTTTATGTTATTTTATTGGGCAAAAATCGGTTGTAATTTATATTATTTTTTTTTTAAATTAGAAATAGCTTCATTTTTACATTTACTTTGTGCATTTTCGCTTCACAATGTCATTATTGTGGCGTTTTAGAGACATTTATAATAACATCTTTTTTGCTCATAAAAAATATGAATATGAAGGAGCAATAAAAACTATAGAGTAGATTCTTTCGTCGTTTTTTAATGTTAGTATTTTATTTCTTCCAGAATGGTCTAATCCCCTGGTACAAGACCGCGGATCATCTCGTACTCTACCCCTTCCCTGAATACAAGCAAGTGCCTTTGTACAGTGATACACGACAGAAAGGATCCAAATGAAATAACTTCAAATTATCTTTAAACTTCAATACAATATAGACTTTATGTCAGAGTTGTTAAAGTTCAAATTCGTGAATTGTTGACTCCATTCCATTCTGTTATTTTGACTTCTATTGTTATACGATTGTGTGCTTTATGGCTGTTGAAATTGGTAACAATTTTCACGCGAGTGTTAGGAAAAATGTATTCTCTAATGAAATAAGGTAATGCCTAATCATACCAATTTAGATGGATGGATGTTTGTTAGAGTTTGTAGCCTAAACTGCTGAACGGATTTCGATAAAATTTTACATACATGTAGAGGATAGTCTGGAAGAACGCATAGGCTACTTTCGTTTTTTTTTCGCGGACGGAGTCGCGGGCGAAAGCTAATATTACTAAACTGATTTGTGATGACGAGTAATTTTAAATGTAATCGTTAAATTCTATTTAATTGCATTGAATGTTTTAACGTTTTTAACGATACAAATTCAACTAATTTTATTGTATACTAGAAAATTTATAAATAACTACCAAAAATTCCAATAAATTCATAATTATTTTACGTTATAGTTAAAGCCAGAGTATAAACTTCGTAATTTGAATGATAAATATACTGAATCACATTCTTTAACTGGGTAGACAGAAATGTTGAATTGGAATTTTGCATGTTTGTAACTGCATTGATTTGTATATATTACTATCTTTTACATTCTTCTGTTATAAAACAGAGACATACAATACAAATGTAAGAACCCATCTTTTTTAAGCATTTTAGCATTCCATTTTATTTATAATCTAGACTGCATTGAGAGTAACAGAAAGATAGTGTTTGTGTAAGAAAGAGATAGAAATAAGTTTGAATTTCGAACTCAAATTTTAAATTTGAAAGAGATAAAACAAAGTCCTCGGGTGTGAAAGAGATAGAAGATACGTTTGAATTCCGAACGTAATTATAAAGTTGAAAGGTACAGAAATAGAGAATGCATGAGTGTGAAAGAGATGGGAGATACGTTTGAATTTCGACCTCATTATTTCTCCGTGTGACAAAGACAATTTCTATAGAAAATGTTTTAACAGATTATATACAGAATACAGATTAAACATTTCAAAACATTTTTTAGATAACTATTGCACTTTTTTATACTTTTATCCCTTGATGTGAAATAGATTTTTATATATTTTCTTGTAGATTGGTATTAATCAAAGTTTTTATATAGCATACTGTTTTGACACACGTGCCAAAGATGTGGCTTAGAGTTCAACAACACAAAGAATACAGTATACAGACCAGAAATATAAAAACCCTTTAATATTGAGGATAAAAATGAAAATATTTGTGTTTTATAAAAATGTATGAAGTCGATTAAAGCGCCCCCATTTTAAAACTAAAAATTGTTTAAAAGCAATCATCAATTTATTTGCTTCAAGTTAATATTGTATAAGTTTTCTCTTAATGATGATTATTATAAAAATTCGATTTCTATAAACTATCATATGAACCTCTTCAAGATCTGATATTACAACGTAATCTCGGAAACTAACTATTATGTATGTAAAAATAATAATTATTTTAAAATACCAGTTTTTCTTGAATTGCGTTTTAAGTATAAGTATTTACAAGCTACAATCAGCTTGAATAAGTATACATTTATAAAACTCCAGAAATATATCATATATACTAATATAAAATGGAAAGATTTGTATTTATGTGTGTATTGAATTAACTCAAAAATGTTCACCATTAATGTAACGTATGTTTTTATTATTATTTTTTTTAATTTCAATCAGACGAAGTCACAAGCAACAGCCAGTATTTAAAATAAAAATGTATGCATATTCGTATATTTTCGACTAAAAACATTAATTTGACGAATACGTGTAAATATGTCAAAAACTAGCTATAGCTCGCGTCTTCGTCCATTAAAATTGTAATAAATGTATCCTATAATCAGTTTTTATGTAGCTGTTTATTGTTAAAAGAATCAAAGAAATCAGCTTATTAGTTTTTGAGTTTTTTTTTTAATACGTAATACAAATCTTTCCTCTTTATAATATTAGTATAGATGGCCTGTGGGAGTTTTTTAAATGTATACTAATGAAGGTAACTGTACAAACAGAAGGTTTTTTTCTGTTGAAACAATAAAAACTATGTTAATCTTAGATTTAAAGTTTAAATTTTATTCATTTAATAAAATGCCTTTTTATCATTATTTGAAATGTATACAAAATCAAATGAATCTATCGTAACTTATTATTTAAATAGCTTTTTTTAGTGTGTTATTTAAAATCTAGTTTTATTATTACTATGAGATTACATTAGTTATAATTATTTTTTACTTTATTTGTTTAACTGTCATTTTTATTATTTATTCGCATAGTTACTACGAGCTTGTACATTTCTGAAGCTTTTAATTATTTAGATTTTATTTATAATATGTAATAAATAATTTAAACACGAACAAAACTTCACCATGTTTGTATGGGCAAAATGACCATACAAAATGAAGATGAGATGGGGAAGAAATCTTTTTCTTTAACTATTCGGAAAAACGCTAATTAAATATATAATTTAGAAATGTAGCCAAGTGCGTTAATTTAGTACCCATGTTAATGTTTGCTACAATTTGACCGGTTTCCACTAGAAAAATACTTTATTTTATACCTGTTGAATAAACTGTGAAATCAATATATTCAATGAAACAATTTACAATGTTTATTGCCATATTTGTAATTATATTTTTTTTTGTATAACCTTTTCAAAGTAAGCTTTGCTCAAATTAACTGCAATTAAAAAGTGCTTTGAGCGAACTAGTAAATATTTTAATGTTGTTAACCCTTAATCAAATAGTATTTTTATATTGGTAACACTAATCAGTACCAACTTAAGAAAAATCCCCCTTTTTATTTTTTTTTTCGAAATCTGAACTCACCTAAAAACTGTCACCAGTCAAGAAAGAACTTGTTTGATTAGGGGTTATATTATTTAGATTATTTTAGGATTATTAATCTCAATGTAATATTAAACAGATAAAGTGTGTTCACAATTTCTTTAAAAAAACATAAAATGACATATGAATATACTAATCGTAGAATAAAAAAGATAACTACATTACTATCGCATACCGCTTCTATTAAAAGAACCGTTTAAATCGGATATCGTTTCGGAGATAACTTCCAACAAATGTTCATATTGCCGTCTCTTTCTGTCTCCTTGATATGATAGAGACAACTATATACACATGGCACTGAATTTTACTGTAATACACTTTTATGTCGGCCATTTTAATAGGACACTTAAATTCTTACAATGTAACATGTAATGGGCATAGTTTTGTTTTTTAAATAAAACTTCACAATTCATTTATTTTATTGTGATTACATATTTTAGTAATAGTAATCGTTATAATATTGCGTAAGTGATTTTTTTTCCTTTTTAAACACCAACAGCCTTACAAATAAACGCAATATAACGTTAAACTTAGGAATAAACTGAGTATAAGCAAATATTAGTACAAATTTTGCTTATACTCAGTTTATTTCTAACTTTTATTTTATACCGTGTTTATTTGTAAGGGTGTTACAAAAATGGAACTAAGACATATTTTTTTAAAATAAATAAATTCAATTCATATATGTTTAAATCGGCATCGATTTATACGTCAAATGTTACCTATTAAAATGGCTTAACTATAGTATCATCGATCTGTATAAATGGATAGGCGATTGCTAGGAAATGACAGCTTTTATTTCTTTCGACTTTGTGATTTCAGCAACTGGTAATGTCGCAACATTGGCCGAACTTGAAAAGGCACAAAATAACTTTATTGCCTGTCCCTTTATAGTGGTATAAATCTGAAATAATCCGAAATATTTGAGAAATTAGCACAATTTTGTCTCTGAATTTCCAAAGACAATGGGAATATGTTTTTTGTACCTTTCGGTAATAAATATGAATGGAATAATCGCATTGTATTTATTATTTTTAAACGATTCTGTATTTGGCATGTGAGTATTACGTAAACCATTTACACCGGCTTTTGTATGGATGAATACATAATGGACCTAATGTATATATAAATTACATTGTATATAAAAGGGTGATTAATGTAATTTAATATTAACTATATAAATTAAATAGTGTAAACTGTGTTGCCTTTTTTTTAATTCCAATGTTACATTTATGTTATTCGAGGTAAATAAACTTTAATTAAAAAAAAACAACACCCACATGAATAATTCTAACAATAGAACATTCTAGAAAATATCGAAATAAATTTAGAAATAAGAAATGAGACTCCAATTCTGTTTTTTCACAGTTATTTTAGAATTTCAATTCTGACGTCTATTGTATGTGTTTTATGCTGATGTAATATACCCTATGACACTCCTGGGAAGAAGACGAATCGAAGGACACCTCACTCGTCAAAATCCGTGCAGTCGTTTAGGTTCCATGCGGTTACAATGGAATTTACATAAAAGAAAACTTACTTGTAACAAACATTACATTGTCAGTCGGGTTTTATTACAAACTATATGTCGCCCACTTGTCAAAATTTTGTATGGAGAAAACTTTACTAAGGGATTCCTTAAATGATCGTTTAGCAAATATGAGTGCGGTAACTCACACGTTCTTCCCCGGTATTTTTATCGTTTTCCTGCTATTTAGGTTTACAGGTAGATTGGAAAGTTTTTGAGTAACATTCTTTAATATTTCGAATGTCGATACTTGATATTGTAATGGAATTTATTTCTGCCCGCAGATCTGCGATTGGTTAGGTCGCCTGTACGGTCTAGATGACGTTGGGCCATAAAGTCGGCGGTTATGTGTGTTTAAAAAAATAGTCTGGTAAACAAGCCTATCGATCTAATATTGACAAATAAGAGAAATTTGCACATTTCATATATACCGTTATTATTTTAATGTAGCTTTCGACCGCGACTCCGTCCGAATAGAATTAAAAAAGTAAGTAGCCAATGTGTTCTTCCAGACTATCCTTTATATCTATGTCAAATTCCATCTAGATTCATTCAGCAGTTTATTCTACCAACTAAGAAATATCCATCCATCTCAACTTTCGAATTTACAATGTTAGTAAGATTTACTTTACATCGTATTAAAATCTTACTATTAATGTACTTTACAGTGGTAGAGCCCGCTTTAACATCTTCGCACGAATGGATCGGCTCGCCCGGTGTAATATCACGACCACACAGAAAACAGGCGTGAAGTGGAAGCAATTCCGCGTTTCGTCTGATGAGTGTGGTGCCGGAGACCTAATTTTAGTCCCTTCCCTTTCCACCCTTTTCTTAAGGGGAAAGGATGGGGAGGAAAAGTGGATTTGACAGTGGAGGAGACGCATAGGACGGGGAAATGTCCTCTTTATGTGCGTGTCCTCCTCCGTCAATTAAGGGTAGGCAACGCATCTGCAATTGCAGATGTCTATAGGCAGCGGTCGCTTCGCCATTTTGGCGATTTCAGGTGGCCGCTTGCTCGTTTGCCACCTTACGTTATAAAAAAACATTTAAAGCTGGAGACGCTGTTTTAACCGTAGAGTCGTACTTTTAAATCAGTGCGTGTAGGTAAAACTTTAACAGACAGTAAAGTGAACAGTTCGACAACACTTAAAACAGCGTCTGTATTTCTTCAGCCCGCTTTTTTAATGGCCAACGTAGCGATTCCGGGGAAAGTCGCCTCTCTAAAGTCAAGTTCAATAACACAGTGTAACAGTATCAGGGGAACCGGCGCGCGCGCATCATTGCATTCACCGCTAAAGTCCGTTATTGCAAATATTCTCTGCTATACCGTCTTATTAAATGGATTGAAGATGAAATATCTAATGATTTTAGTTGTTCTATGTTGCGTTATACAGATAGTTGTACCGGCGAAATATTTACCTAAATGGAAAAAGCAGGTAAGTTTTTAAATGTTTTTTTAATTTGCTTTCGCTTGAATATAGCTTTTTGTCGCCATGTTTTGTGAATTTGTCTAATAATTATAAATTAAATCCGTCAATTTATTTGCTTTGTGAATAACAATATATAATCGATTTTTTGAAATTGAAAAATAATAAAACTAAGTTTTGATTTATTTAAAATGGATTTTTAAAATTTTCTCAATAGTTTTTTTTTTAAATTAGTTATTGATTATAAGTAAAACCGGTATAAAAATACTTGAAGTTAGTACAAATTAATCCATAGAATTTTAAACTCTAAATCCATAGAACAGAAAACTTTAACAGAACAATAATATTTTATGTTAATTTCTATACGTATATAAAAATCCCAGTTTTATAGACTTACAAAGTAAATGAAAATGCATGACAAAGTGTGAATAACTTTATTTCTACTAAATTTCATTTTTAAAGAATACGAATTATAATAATTTAACTATATTTATTTAAAACCAGCTTATTTAAACAAATATCTTATATTGAATTTTACTAATATTACAAATACGAAAGTTTAGATGGATGGATGTTTCTTAGAGTTTGAAGAGTATAGCCTGGAAGAAAACATAGGCTACTCATTTTTGTTTCTTTTTTATTTCACGCGGATGGAGTCGCGGGCGAAAGCTAGTTGGTTATAATAACATTGAAAATAATAATCCTTATCGTTAAGTAATGAACGAAGAAGCACCTATTACGAATACGAAAATAATTTCTATCCCATAAACCAATTTCTATCACTATTACCAATTCTATAAAATTAAATTACCATAAATGTATGAGATGCGTCAAATCTTAAAAGGCTTATCTAAGCATGTCGCAATGTTTTCTCCTTGGTTTTCCTCGCAGCATACTTTCTGCTTTCTCGTTGTTATTAGAAAGTGGACGGCGTGAGTCACCGCGCCGCCGTCCTGGAGGAAACAACAAAAAAAAACATTCCGGGTCAAAGAAATAAACCTTAGATGTGCTAGGTCAATATTTGATTATTGTCGAGTCATAACTTTCCTTTTTATTGTATAACTAGCTTTGTTTCGTGTTAAACTTTCTAAACAATATACAAACATTTTGCTATCCTACTCAACTCTTTGAAAATAACAGAGACAGCGATATTATACAAGTGTTTCGACAATGAAACACAAATCTTATTATTGAACACCGGCTTTAGTACTTAACTAGCTCACGGCTCAATGTATGTACTATAACGATCTGATCCGTGAACTGCTTAGTTCACTCATGACAATCATACCTCTAAGTTGACACTAATTGAGCTGATCAGCAGCTCATAGGTCGGTTCACTGATCTGCATTACCTTAACTATGAGCTGATCTGCAGGTCATAAATTAGTTGAGTTACCCATAGCCAGACATGAGTGCGTAAAACGTTCGTATGAGCGACATTGTTCAAGAACGTTGAAACAAGCGCTAAAGAACTAAGTTTGTTATATGACGCGTTTGCCTATTTGAACCCAATTACCGAGACCACCGAGTGCTGTGCTATTTGGTAATTTATTTAAATAAACTAAGTCATTAAACATACCTAATTGGTTTAGTTAAGCAAGGCGAAAATAGTCTCGCCGCTGCATGTTGTTACATTCCTAAGATAACATAAATGTGGTAAGGGTACGGCACAGCGTTGCATAATCTGTCTTCTTTTTTAACCTGTGCTCAACATTTATGTTAAAATACTAATTAAGGTAAATGAATAATTACTGTTTTGCCCATTACTTTGATCAACGCAAGTTGTACCAATGTTTTTTTTATCTTTAAACCGGTCACTATTTACAATTAAAATAGATGTCTGTGATCAATATACTGAACCTCAGTGCCTTTTTAAGGTTATTACGCCGCACGTAATTCATTCGCAGACTTGTGACGCCCTCTTTTTGTAGACGCCCTGGGCGATCACCCAGCAACGCCCTATCTTAACGTCGGTACTGCTGAGCCTTTACAAAAGAACACATTTTTTTAATACACGCCAGTGCATCAGCAGTTCATTAAACATAGATTCAAAAGCCAAAGAAATTACGACAAAAGAAAAACCATTTCGCGTATTCAGAGTCAATCACAAAGAATTTACAACCCTAGGTCTCTTTCTGCTATACCTCAACTAACTGCAACAAGCACCATCTCTCATCAGTCATCTTTCTACATTTTCCTCGTATCTGTGAGGTTGCGTATATTGTTGTAAGCAAATAAGGTGAACAACTCTCTAACACTAATGATATATGAATTGATTAACGACAATCAATATCCCATTATGAGGAATAATCCATTAAAAACAGTTTACCATTTACTGAATGTTAAAGTTCTTAATGGTGTGCCGAAATAAGTATAAAACATAGTGTTTTCTCTGTTTTACCAAAGATAATGGGATACGAGAGAACAAGACAAATATATTTTTGACAGTTTGATAAACGCAATACGAAAGATAATAAAACCGTTAAAGTCATTCATTTAAACATTTCCGTTTCGTACATTCACTTGTTTTTAAGCTCGTTAGCGGAGCGAGGTCGTCCGTTGCCGGGTTCCGCCAGGAGGCGCGGGGGCGGGGTTTGTTTGGATGAAAGTTGTCTCGTGCGAGCTAGGTCAGGTCATCTAAGCCCCGTTATTTTCTGGCTATTAAAACTTTTATACATATGAAGTTACTGCGTTGTCCCCTTTCAGTAATAAGTTAAAGGAAATCTTTTATGTTAATCGGAATACTCAAAGAGTTGAAGCATTAATTCTTGATATAAAGATGTCATTTGCCTTCCATCACTAACACAGCTAAAACCGCTTAACGCTTCATTCTGCACTTTGCACCTGTGACAATGATCTCGTTATCTCAGAAGCCATTCCGTCAGGCCTGCGAGCTGCCCGCTGTGCAGAGCGAGCACAGCCACTACGTGTGTGATGACAACGGCGAGCCTAAGTGCCTGCCCGGCTGGCAGGGGGATCTTTGCGATGTGCCCATTTGTAAGAAGGGATGCGATCCTTTACAAGGTCAGTAATATATCTATAGTATTAAAAAAGGGATTAGACTTGAAATTAGGTTAATTAAGTGATAGGTTTTAAATAGAGATTATTACAGTACTGAACTTAGAATGTCATTACTTAATGCCAGCATTACACTTTATTAGTGTCAGTCTTTTACAGTTAGAAAGTAACATCTTATAATGAAATGTATATGTTCAGGTTACTGCAACCGACCGGGCGAGTGTCGTTGTAAAATGGGCTTCTACGGAGAACGTTGCAACAAATGCATCCCGATGCCAGGCTGCCAGCACGGCTACTGCAACGTCTCCTTCGAGTGTCAGTGCCGCCCCGGCTGGGACGGAATATTCTGCACTGAACGTATGTATAACTAAGCTACAGTTTAAAAAAGTCCAAGTATCAATACTTCCACAAGGTTATGATGATCTAAACGACTTGACAGTTTTGGAAAAGCGAATAATTTTTACAAGCTTCTGCAGCAAATGGATGTCAGCGGAAGCTTTGTAACGCACTTATCTGTTATAGCGATTTGCCGTTCTGATTGCCACGCGACGCGCGGTTATTGCGAGGCGCCTGGCGAGTGCCGTTGCCGGCTGGGCTGGTCGGGGCCAACCTGCCGCGCATGCCAACCATTGCCTGGCTGCCAGCACGGATATTGTGACAAGCCACTAGAGTGCAAATGCCTGCCTGGGTTCACTGGACTGCTGTGTCAAACACGTGAGGATACACAGCTTTGTAAAGTTCCAAATCACAAGATTCCTCAGCTAAGATTTAGATAAAGAATTTTGTCCGATTAATGTTACGTTAACGTAACCAATCGTGCAATCTCACTTTCTATTCTTTCCCTTTTTGTTGAGTGCCAATCAATATGCCACCATTGACACATGCTGTACATTATTGCAATTCGTTATGTAATTTATGTTTGTTTGTACTTTAATGTCTCATAACGTCTACTTATATGACAAAGCGGATATCTTAAAACGGAACTATCAACGTCTGTCTTTGGATCGTTTTATGATTTTTTTGTCTGTTTTGGACGTTTACAGTGTTGAAGTTAGGTATAGCAAAGGGGTTACCGCTTATGTCTTTTCATAAATAACGTTTGTTATGGATACAGCAATCTGTGCACCTGGTTGTCACGGCGAGCGCGGCTACTGCCGGCGGCCGGGCGAGTGCCGCTGCAAGGTGGGCTGGACTGGCAAGAACTGCGCGCAATGCCACCCCTACCCTGGCTGTGTGCACGGCACCTGCAACCGCCCTTGGGAGTGTCTCTGCAAGGAAGGTTGGGGAGGCATGCTGTGTGATGAAGGTAGACTTCGCCTTTTTTATTTACCTCTCCCATTTGTTTTTTAATATTCACCACAGTGTCGAATGCTTGAAACAGTTTGAGGAATTTGTTTATGTCCCGTAACTATTATTATAATTGTCTACCTGTGGCTATGCTTAGAGTGACTTAACATCAACATTATTTAAATCTTGTCCATGATTAAAGATCTAAGGATCCAAGTATTAAAGGACCATGAATTCTAAGTCAAACACAATTTGTCAAGCTAATAAAATAGGGGTAGCTCTTCTGAATATACTTTTACGGTTTTAAATCCATCGAACAAAGGAGATGAATTTGTATATTTGACCGACTTCCGACTTTTATTGATCAAGAAGGGTGTGATGACTGAGATGACGTATGATAGAGTTATTTGGAGGACAAAAAACTGCTGTGCCGACCCTACGGGAGTAGGATAAGGAGGATGAGGATGATGATGATGATGACCGACTTCCCAAAAGAAGGAGGTACTCAATTCGTCTATATGTTTTCTTCAAATCACTATAATTCTAGTATCATCTTTTACAGAACTCAATTACTGCGACAAGAATCCTGACACATGCCAGAACGGTGGTAAATGCCAGTCACTGGAGGCGAATGATGGTAACTTCAGATGCAACTGTCCTTCAGGAGTGAGTGGCAAATTCTGTGAGAACTTACCAGCTAATATGACCACACCGGCAGCGGAGAACAGCACAGAAGGAAACGATGATATCACTCCGATAGAGATAGAAGTATCAACTAAGGAACCTGATAATCTTGATAATGAGACTGAATAAGAAGATATAGAAACTCCTTTAAAATTACTGAATTGTCTAAGTGGCTTCTACTGTCGAAACTTTTGTGTAAATGTCTGTCATTCTCTTTGAATAAAATAAGACAAATATTTTTTTTAGAGCGGGTGCACACTTTTGACTCAATTATCGTTGTGCGATTGTCGATTGTTTCGCAGCCAACTACAACTATAAATAGAGTATTGTGCGCACCTCCATGGATAGGAATCAGAGCGAGACTAAAAGGTTGGGCGATAGTCTAGTTAAGTTGCGCGCGCTCTTAATATATAAAGCCAGTGAAATTTCAGGGTAACGTGAATTGTAGTGCTTGAAAATTTGTTTAAATTGTGAAGTATGTCGATATAGTAATTAATGTTTAATGGTATGAGTGTATTTATTTATTGTGTGTGTTTGTGAGGCGCTTTTATTTATTACTCGCTAGACGTAAGACAAAAGCTATCGTAAATTAGACGTAAGACTGTTTTGATAAGAGGCTTGATTCATTTTAATAAAATTTGATAAATAAGGTTTGTATTTCATTTACCTTACATGTTAAGTATTTGTTTTTTAAAACTGGTTTTTGCGGGCGACTCTGTTCGTGAGGAATTAAGAGAAAACTTAATTACTAACCTATGTGCTCCTCCAGACTATGTTCGATATTTATGATAAATATAGCGTAGAGCAGTTCTGGATATATGTAGTAACAAACATCTAAACACCCACATTTATATTAGTAAATCGTAAGATTATTATTTTTTTTAATTCCACGCGAACTGAGTCCCGAGCGAAAGCTTGTAATTTAATATATCTTTATGTTAAGGTCACAGGCGAGGGTGTTTCTATTTTTAATGATGTTCTGTTCTGTTCCCATGCGACTTTGTCCGCAAAATAATTATAAAAAATCCATTTTACTGTTCACATTTGTCAAATTATCAATTGCAAATGTCAAAATGACATGACATGATGTGGCATGGCAACCTTGCTTCCTTGATGTTGGCAACAACGTATGGTCTCATTCCCACATTAGGGTTTTTATCCAAAATATTTACTCCTAAGTTTAACGGCGTCAAAATATATAGCCTAAAGCGTGACGTAAGTGTAGGGCTTTTTACCAAAAAAAGAATTATTCAAAAATATGCTGTAATTGCTGACATCTTAGGCAACAAAGGAGTGTGTGTTTACGCTTTATTATATTAGTATAGACATATGTAGTAGAGATATATATCAAAGTTAGTCTTCAATACCGTCAATCTGTAAACGCACAAATTACATATGTATTACATCATACATATGTAAACTTTGCCTAGTTTTATTAAAGGCGTTGCCGATCCCAGCTAGTCAATTAAAAAGTCCTTCTGACTCAGCTAATACGGCTAAGTAAGTCTTGTTTTACGCATTTAAAGTCGGTTTCTGCTTTTTTCGTCTCATTTTTATTCAAAGCAACCGACATAGTCGCTGGTAAAAAATAGTCTCTAAGAGCGGACCCACCTTTGACTAAACTGTCGCACGACTGTTGCGATTGTCGATTGTTTCGCAGCCAATTCAACTGTTGTTCAGTGCTACTGCACCTCAGCGGGGGAAGCCGCGCAGAGGGGACTATTTCAGACCTCCTCCGTCCCCCGCGCGCCCTCGCACCGCGCTGCAGCCAGTTGCACTCCACGCCATAATCCAACAACACGTCATCTATTTATATGTGTATCTTTTTTACAATAAACTGTTTAACTGCAATTCATCATTCAACTATACCCGAACATACAGTCCATAACTACAAACAACTGTTTAGTTGCATAATTAAAAATCGAGTAGCCATCCATATAAAATCATAGGAATCAAAGCGAGACTAGTCTTGCGATAGTTTAGTTTGATGTGTGCGCACGCTTTAACTCTGTTGCTATTTAAATTATTTTTAAAACGATTTGAACTCAGATTAAGTGTATATATTTAGTTTTTTTTTTATCTCACATGGTAGTAGATATTACCGAGATATAACTTCCTTTGAACTACATTTTTTAAAGCACTTTCTTAAAGATAGTTGCAACATGTTATGTTCTTTTAGTAACATAGGATTTAAAAAGTTAACTATCTAATATAAATTTGTAAGTTTAGATGGATGGCAAAATTAAGGAATCTCAATTAAATTTGACACACGACTAAATCTGGAAGAACACACAAGCCAGGGGTGGCGAGAGATTTCATTATTTTTAAAGAAATGCTTAAGTTCTTAGCTGTCGAATAATTTTGACTGCGATTATTACGTCAATTTCATGCATCTACTTCATAATCTTTTCATAGTGTTTTTATGATTTTCGACGTGACCAAAATATTATAACGTGTGCTATTTATGGCAAGCGTGCCAGTAGTTCGCTATCCCTGACATGGGCTATATACTTTAGGGAGGAGCTGCGGGTAATGCTAGTATTAAATAAATTAAATAAAAATCTATTAACAAACATCCCGCATTAATCTGTGTTAGTTATGAAGTCTACAAAAACTAGTCCATCTGACTTAAATTACTTGTTACGAAGGCATTTAAAGTGCAACCGTTGCTTGTTAATTTATTGCCTTATGATTATGTACAAAAGTACAGTTGTAAGAAACATAAACTAAATTTTCATGTACTAGGAATTCGCGCGTCTTGGCTATTTGAAAATTATTAGCTATTTCCTGGGTCAGTTTTTGCTATCTGGGTCGAGTTTATATTTCGTTACACGAGATATGTAAAACAGCGCCATCTATACGAAAAAAAATACAACTATGTTATTTCTCGAATTTATAAATTTAAACTAGAGAATTTCGTTTGGTATTGACTCGTTTGTAAATAATGTATTTGGAATTATTCTGATACACATAAAATCGGTATGCAAACACGACTATGCGTCTCGCATTTCGGTCAGTGACCTGATTGCTTAGTTAATTAATATAAAAAAAACTATGTTCACCTTTATGCCCTTATAGGAACCTTCGTTAGTGTTGAACCGATCTCATTTAATATCTCATTCCTTATGTAGCAGGTAAATTATTGCATAACCTAATCTTCCCATTTTAGGATGAACGGAGATTAACTTGATGAAGAAATAAAATCAATCGCATAGAGTTAATAAGAAGTGTTTTTTATAGTTTTAATTAAGTCGTATCAATGTCTTTTAATTGAAAATAATTGATAAAACACTAATTAATTAAATAAAGAATCTTAAAGCTATGTTACACAAGCGCGTTTTCATCTTTCAAGGTGGGTTTTCATTGCTAGAGCACCTAACATTAATTATTAGGTGTTACATAAATTGACTTTTGAGTCATGCGAGTTTGTAAGCTATGATATTTATAGAGAAATACTAACAAGCCTGTGAGTATGAAAGGACACAAATTCGACAATCTTCAACCTATGAAGTTACTAGTTATCGCCCGCGATTCCGTCTCCGCTGCATTAAAGAAACAAAAGAGAGTGAGTGAAACAAAAGTAGCCTATGTGTTCTAGACTATCCTCTATATCTATGCCATTTTTCATCGAGATTCAGCCGGTTAGGCTACAAACTCTATCAAACATCCATCCATCTTAACTTTTGCATTTATGACATTAGTAAGATTACGTAACGACATCTACAAGGGTAAAAATAAAACTAAATTTATACGTAAATGAGTCAAACTGTTTGATGTCCTTAAGAATTAGCAATCACTCCTAAATCAGACGAATTTTTGAGGACAACTGCATTTCTATTTAAATATTGAACTACTTAAAATACACAAATTAGAATACTACAAATTCGATTTAACATACGAGTGCTTTACATACGTTTATTTCTACTCGTATATTAATGCTTTTTTTAGTGTATTTTTAGATATTTAAAAATGATTTAAAAAATATAGACGATCGGCCAAATCAACAATACTTGTTAATTACTTTAAAACTAATCACAAAGTCAACTATGTTAAAATATCAACGTTCCGTGTTGACGACTAGAAATGTACTCAGCTATTGAGCTTCCGAGCGAATGCCGGACTGTCGGACCGAGCCCTGTGAGACTCCTTGCAAGTGTTTTATAAAACTACCTCCCACTTTTCCTACTATTCCCTAATAGTATTATTAAGAATATTAAACAAATTTGTAATTTTCTCAAACTCCATTTGCAGCCTAAGATCCAACGCGTTTTTCCTTCCCTTATCAGATTTCCTGATGTAGCTTTTATCAGGAGATATGATGAGGGAAGGTCAAACTAGTGATGTACCTATTACATTCAAATTCGATATATCTGGGATCTCGTTAAATTTAACAAAATTAGACACAAATACCTATATGTATGAAGTGATTAAAGTCATTTCGTCTCATAAAAGCTTGGAAAGAAAATTGATAGTCTTTTATGATAAATACTAGCTTTCGCCCGGGACTCAGTCCGTGTAGAATTAACAAACAAATCAAAAGTAAGCATATGCTTCACACACAGAGGATCAAACACATTAGGTGTTGTTCCAGGCTGTGCTCTACATCTATGCCAAATTTCATCCAGATCTGTTTAGCAGTTTAGGCTACATACTCTAACAAACATCCATCCATCTATACTTTTGCATTTATATTAGTAAGATTGCTTTGCTGTTCAGGTTAAGTTATACGTAAATAACTTAGCAGTTTAGAAGTAAAGCTTTAAGTTACCTGCTTAATATACGATGTCGCAAAGCTACGGATGTTAATCCCGGTCAACGTTTCAAGTCGAGCTTTACCTAACTTAGGTTAAAATTAAGTAATCTTTTGCTAATTTAAGTGATCCTAAAAACTATAATCTGATTTTCATTTTAGGGTGTTGGTATTTATGTATTCGATACTTAGTCTGTTAAAAAAAACTGTTTGCCAGTTTTTATAATTATTCGTACAACTTAATATGGTCGAAAAAAATTACTGCACAAATATTCACGCTTATGTCCAAAAGTGTAGATGTTTTCCTTTATGGATTTACAGTTTACTTTTTGCCGTTAATCGATTCTTTGACAGAAATACCTTTTTTATAGTACTAGCTTTTGCCCACGAATCCGCCTGCGAAAATCTACAAAAAAAAAAATAAAGTTAAGTCTTCGTGTTCTTGCAGACTATCCTCTACATTTATAACAAATTTCATAGATATCCGTTTACCAGTTTAGGCTACAAACTCTAACATTAATCCATTTAATGGATGGCCTAATTTAAGTCCATTTCTCTTTTGCCCTTTTCTTATAAGGAGGGGATGGGAAGGAGAAATGAATTTGACGGTGGAGGAGATGCATAGGAAGGGGAAATATCCTCTTTATGTGCGTGTCCTCCTCAGTAGGAAAAGGGTAGGCAACGCATCTGCAATTATAGATGTCTCTGGGCCGCGATCGTTGCGCCATTTTGGCGTATTCAGGTGGTCGCTTGCTCGTTTACCACCGTATGTTTTCAAAAAAAAATCTAAACTTTCGCATGTAAAATTGTACACAAAAGTAAATAATTACCTAAAGATTATCTATGGCTGACTTAATACGTAATTATAGCAACCGCTAGACAGTATCGTATTACGGTAG